CTGGTCCTCTGGGTTCCGCACCAAGTGCTCCTGTTCAGGAACACATGGTAGGCAGTCGGGATAGGGAGCCACCTTCGTCACACTCATCCCCATCGTGTATGGCTTTCCCGGTAAATGTTAACCCTGGGGGCAACAGACCGGCCTTATGGTATCCCTGGGAGGACCAGGACTTGAAAGAACTCAAAAAGGCCATCTCTGAGGATGGACCTAATTCGCCCTGGGCTGAAACCATCCTCCAGGGTCTGGCCCACCAACAGTGTACCACCCAAGACTGGAAAAACTTAACCAAGGCTGTGCTTCCTGGTCCCCTGTACCTGAAATGGTGTGCTTTCTTTAATGAGGAGTGCCATGCTCAGGCTGAGAGGAATCAGGCTGTTAATCCTCCGGTTCCTGTAATTTATGGGATGTTGTCGGGGTCCAGTGATCAATTTTCCATAGGCCTTCAGCAGGCTGCTATCCCTGCCCCCTACCAGGAGCAGGTATGGGCTTTGGGGCTGGCAGCATGGAAAAAGTTGGAGGAAGGCTCCTCAGAGCCCCCAGTAGCAGGAATTACTCAGAGGGCTACTGAGGATCTTGCCACCTTCATCGATAGGGTGGAAAAGAGCCTCCAAAGGAAATTCCCCCCATGGCCTCTTCGGGACCAGTTTGTCAAGATGCTGGTCTGGGAGGGGATGACCATAGACCACAAACTAGCCTGTGCGGGGATGAAGGACAGATCTATGGGGAGGTGGATAGGTGGCCACTAAGGATGTCGGTACTCAGGCCCACCAATCACAGTCGTTGGTCGCGGCCTTGCAGGCCCAAACGGCTTCGCTTGCTGAGGTCCTTACTACTGCCCTAGCCTCTTCCAGTGGAGCCGGGAGAGGGGTTTGTTATGGATGTGGTCAACAGGGCCACTTCAAGAGAGAGTGCCTTACAGGCCCAATAAGACTCGGTGCCCCGCGGGGGACGTCCCTCAGGCCAAACTAAAGGTCATACTCCACCTAAGACGCCCTGCCCCCGGTGTAGAAAGGGATTTCATTGGCAAAGGGATTGTAAGTCCAAATTTGATGTTATGCTGCTTCTATGCCAATCACTCTGGTTTCATCCAAGACAAGATCAAGAGACGACAAAAAGACCTTAAAAACTGTAGAATGAATTGCAATCTAGCTTTCTATGGACTGGGCTAAACGGGTGGCTCCCTTATCGAGCCAGAGCTGTTCAACTGATGGTGGTCTGGCAGCAACATGCTGTCTTACAAGATACTGACTGGGAACTCTATGAGGTTGGCCACGGCCCCTACCAGGACATGCAGGTGTAAGCCAGGAGCAGAAAGGTTTCCTTCGTAGGCGATAGCTGTCTCCCTTCCATAAAGCTTCCCATTGGGTCTGCCGACCCTGCAGGTGAACTGCCTGAAGAGCCAGAGTGGTAATCAATGACGGGTAAGATCCCCAGAGGGGGACGACCTAAGACAGGCACACTCTCAAGTAAGGCAAACATCTGCTAATAAAACAAAACGGGGGAGAGGTAGGGCATGATGTAACGTGGGGCATGTTGCATCAGAAAAGAGGAAACTTAACTTGTTGGCTACACCCGCTTCCCAGTCCTGGGGTCACATGTGGCTAAGAGAGTACCCAGCGATTAGCCAGAAGGCATTGCCCTGGGTTGTGATGAAGAATCGGACCACCTCTAGGATAGGCTCAGAACCCTTCTGCCCTCACGACATTCCTGCGTGTAGGATGGGTGTGGATGTAAATTCTCCCCACCCTGCTGACCTTTATCCTGGTTGGCTCCTGTACATTGTATTAGCTGTGTAGGTTTTCTCATTACATGAGATCCTGCTTTGACTGTTCTCCCTGGCCTGCCTGATTGTCCTCGGGGAAGGAGGGCTGGGTGTGGGCGCCTGGCCTTTACCTTTCTTGGCTGGTCCTGGTTGGGGCGTGCTTTCCCCATCTCTCCCGCAGGTCAGGAGGCTAAAAAACCCGACAATGTACCTTTGGTATTTTTTTGAATCACTTGAAGTCATTATGCAAAAAATTAAGAACAGAGACAAATTACATCTAAACACTTAGTGTTGACTCTTTCCTTCAGTGGAAAGAAACCTATTGCTAATTCTGTTCGGACAGACAGCAGCCAAAATGGCAAGTAGCATTTTGCCAACAAAGAGCAAAGACGAGTAGTTCTTTCTCTACCCAGTCCCCAATGCCAAGCCAAATGACATTTGAGGACTTAAGAACTTAATATCCAAGGAAACTAGGCCTCAGAGTGATTTTATTTCTGTACCAAAGAACAGTTTTTTCTCTTTAGAGCCTGACGTTTCTGTTAATGCTTTTCCTCCTACACCCTTTAGGCAAGAGAATAGAGATGGGCAACACTTACTAAACCCGGATCCTTAGAGAAATCTTATCTCAGGAAACCTATCCTTTGATTTTCCTGTATTTTAATGTTCTATATCAGTCCAGTTCTGAGCTATTATCAACACTATTAATACTATCCAGAAGAATTCCCTGCAATAATAGAAATTTTTTTATGTCTGCACTGACCCATACATCATAGCCACTAGCCATGTGTGGCCATTAAGCACTCGAAATACAGCCAAAGTGAGTAAAGAACTGATTTTTAGATTTTATTTAAATTAACTTAAACAGTTACATGTGGACAGTGCAGGTAGTCACATAACTCTGATTAAGTAGCAGAGGTCCTTCTTAGGTCTACTGTAATCCTGAGTTATTGAAGTTAACTGCATCCAAAAGTTCTCACTTCTAAAAAAATTTCTTATTAATTCAACATGTTTCTTAAGCACCGACTCTATGCCAAATTCTATTATAATTGTCAAGGATAATAGCAGGGATGTAACAGACAAGGAAGGCTCCTCCCTCATTAAATTTATATTCTACTATAACCAGCAAACTGCAGCCCATGGGATAAATCCAGCCTCTGCCTGTTTTTGCACAGCCTGCAAACTGAGAATGGTTTTCCCATTTTTAAATGATTGAAAAAAAATTTAACCCATAAAACTCCATCAAATTCAAGTTTTCATATTCATAAATAAGATTTTTTGGAAAACCCATCCACGCCCATTAGTAATGTATTATCAATGGCTACAACAGAATTGAATAGTTGCAACAGAGATCAGGTATGGTTTGCAAAGACCTGAACAGAATGTTTATTGTTTATCTCTTTATAGAAAAAGTTTGCCAACCCCTGTTCTAGTAGAATAGTAGAGAGTAATATGGCAGGCACTATGGTAAACATTTTTGCATGCATTATTATATTCAGTCTTTGGAGCAACTCTCTGACAGAGGTTCTATTTGTCTCTCCACTGGTAAAATGTCAAACTGAGGTTCAAAGTGGTTAATAATCCAATTAAGGTTACAGTTCATAAGTGACTAAACTTGGACCCTATCACATGTCTGTATGGTTCAATAGCTAATGTATTTAGCCAACGTGGTATGATCCAGTGCTTTTTATGCTTGAAGGTACACACTAACCCCCTGGGAATCCTGTTCAAAGATTAACTCCATTAATTCAGTGGGTCTGGGGCCTGAGATTATGTGTTTCTAGCAAGCTTCTAGGTGATGCTGATGCTACTGGTTCAAAGACTATAGCCTTTAGATGAATGATTCTTAACCCTTGGCCTTGCATTAGAAACCTCCAAGGAATTTCTAAAAATATGGACCCAGGGTCCACTCCCAAAGATGCTGATTTAATTGGTCTAAGACTTAGTCATCAGGTTTTTTTAAAAAAGCTTTTCTAATGGTTCAAATATATGGCCAAAATTGAGAATCACTGCTTTATGAAATAATACTGGACTGAAGTAAAAACATTCAAATGGGAATTCAAAACAAGAGAGTTTGGGTTCTAACTCTAATATGACAGGTTGAAACCAGTTGCCTCTCCTCTCTGGAGCTCCAGATGTCTTTGTAAGTGAAAAATGAAGCTCAAACCAGATGATCTCAGAGGGCTCAAGAAAACTGACTTATCAGGTCCTCACACAAAGAAGTGAGAAGGTCAGAAGAAGTATCCAGGCTTCCAATTTAGTACATCAACATGAGGCCCAAACTCCAGGTCCATCTAGGAGAAAACTAAGCTGATATCTGTTTTTATGTATTGTTTGGGCAGTTTATCAATACAGAAATGTTTCCAACAGCCAGGCTGCCTTATGTACCAAAAAGCTAGAATTGCAGTTAAAGTTATGATTTAATGATTATGAAAGTAACACATTTACAAAAAAGTAATTTACAAAAAGTAAAATTTAGAAAATTACACAAATTATAAAGAGGAGAGCCCCAAATATTCATAATCCCTAGAGCAGTATCTTTAACAGCCTCAACAAATAAATAACATTGTGATCAAATTATTTCCCACAGAAGAAGGGAGGGCTAGGGAGCCCCAAGGGGCCTCCCCCACAAAAATCCCTAAAGGTTAAAGCCCTATTATTACATCTCCAACAAATGCAGCTTCTAGGACTCGAAGGTCGCGTGGGCTCTTACTGAGAGCATGGGAACTGCAGCCTATAAACTAGACAGATTATAAACTACTTTCATGACTATTTGGTAGTGGGCTACTCTTCATTTCTTCATCTGTAGATTATCCATTGTGAAAAACTCTCCTTAACTTTTTGTACTCCTTTGAAATCTGCAGATAAAAGACAAGAAGGCTTTATCCTTTTGCAAACAATGAGATTACCTGGGTATTCCAGATCTTTATTTCTTTAGAAATACATGTGGGAAGCAATAGTACATTAGAATGGGCTGAGACCTGATCGTTCTGGGTTTAAATCCAGCCCAAGTTCTCTTGCTAGTAATTTTCACTATCAATAAACACTGATGGTAACAGTATGCACTTCACAGTGTTAATGTAAAATACTGAGCACAGTTTTTAGAATATAGGGAGTATTCAGAAAATGATTCAATGATGGTGGTGGTGGTACTAGTTAATAATAATAAAACTTAGCTGCTTTGGGGTATGGCTACCCTTGGAACAGAAATAAATGTATGACCTTTTTGTTTGTCTTTTAGATTAATTAGTCTCCATGGAAATCTTGAGTGCTAAAACATCCAAGAAAATTGACGCTAGCTAGTGCTTGTCGCCATGTCGCTACTACTCCGTGCCAAGTGTTTTCAGCGCCTCACAATTTCTGGTTTTGTGAGAGATTTGCATGGAGAGCACAGAACAGCAACCCCTCAGAATTTCTCCAACTATGAGTCCATGAAACAGGACTTCAAATTGGAGATTCCAGAGTACTTCAACTTTGCTAAAGATGTCCTGGACCACTGGACCAATATGGAGATGGTATGGAGAAAGGGGCCAGTCAGATGACAGTTTCTGAGCTGGGAGCAATTTTGCCCCCTGTGGACATTTAGCAACGTCTGGAGACATTTTTGTTGTCCTAGGAAAATGAGGGTGGAGGAAGGGGACTGGGGGGTAAGGGAGGCTGCTACTAGTATTTAATGGATAGAGGTGAGGGATACTGCTTAGGAAAAAAAAAAACTAATATAAAGGACAGTTCTTTACAGAATAAATAATTATCTGGCCCATGATGTCAGTATAATCAGATTGTTTTTTTAAAAAACAAAAAGTATACTGAAGGCTGAGGTTGTGGCTTAGTGATAGAGCGCTTGCCTAGCACGTGTGGGGCGCTGGGTTCGATCCTCAGCACCACATAAAAATAAATAAATAAAATAAAGGTATTGTGTCCAACTACAACTAAAACAAAATATTTTTTAAAAAAGTAATAGTGAAAAGTGACTCTAGGCCTGGGGTTGTGGCTCAGTGGTAGAGCGCTTGCCCAGCATGTGTGAGGCACTGGGTTTGATTTTCAGTACTGCATATAAATAAATGAATAAAATAAACAGTCTATCAACATCTAAAAAAATAAAAAGTGACCCTTAAGAGTCAGAAATGGTAGGAAATGAGGCATAGATACAGTAGTCAGAGAAATATGAAGGAATGTAATATTCCTTTTTGGTAAGAGAAGCAACTGCACTAAATAAGAAATGACATCACTCCCTAAAAATAAGGACCCCAAAGTTATTTCCAAAGACTCAGTGTAAGTCCTAATGAATATATTCAGAGGATGTATTCCATTGGTTCCTTGAAATAGAATTTAACTGTCTAACAACTTCTAAATCCATGACTGGTTTGTCTTTCCTTAGGCTGGACAGAGGCCTTCCAACCCAGCCTTCTGGTGGATCGATGAAAATGGAGACGAAGTGAGGTGGAGTTTTGAGGAACTGGGATCTTTGTCCAGGAAATTTGCCAATATACTTACAGAAACCTGTTCCCTGGAAAAGGGAGATCGAGTAATTGTGATTCTGCCTAAGATCCCAGAGTGGTGGCTTGCAAATGTGGCCTGTTTGCGAACAGGTTAGTAATGTTTGCAATCCAATCGTATATAAACTACGCCAGAGGAGAGATTTTTTTAATCATGAGATACTTATTTGGATATATTATTTGAAGAAGAACCCTGGAAAATGTAGTATTATTCTCAGGACCCATAGAAATGTGTTGGAAACATGCTGTCTTTTGACTTACATGAGAAGTTAGGTTAGTGAAATAGATTTTTAAAGTGAAATAGATTTATAAAGCAATTAAAGCTTCATACCTACTTTCCCCTCTCCTTCTATAGGATCCAGTATATTTACATAGTAAAAGAACTCAATTTTTCATGCTTTTGTTTCTGCCCTGGTTAATTATCCCCAGCTGTTCCCCTAAGGCAACCACCAACTCCTCATTCCTAATAAATTACTACGCCTTATAAATCTGACTGCCTACCTGCCTCCAGATATTATTCATTGCCATTGCTTTATTTCACATCTTTACCATCTCCCAAATGGATTCTCCCCAAATTCTTTCTAATTCTGCTCTTAAGTTTGTGCCCATACACCTACTCCAATCCAATTCCAGTCTTTTCCCTAGAACACAATTTATGCAATCATTTTGCTGTTTAACATTATTTAATACTTCTCCATTGCCTACCAGATAAACTCTGAAGTTCTTTAGATGCACCATGAAAGACTAGCATTTTTTTTTTATTGCTGTAACACCATTATACTCCATGATTACGCAGAAAAGCTATCTCTTGGCTTTTCTACTTACCAATACACTTAATCACATGGACAATTCTTACCGACTTTCCAGTCTCAGCTTAATGTTACCTTCTCGGACAACACACCCTGATATCCTGACCCACTGAGCTGCTCTCTTCCTGGAGTCTCAGGATGACAAGAACTTTGTGAATTCATCAGTTGTGGCCATTCACTTAGTAGATCCGAAGCCTCTTGATGTCAATGCATCTGACAGTGGAGCTCTGCATTTCAGGGCAGAGGGACAGGTGGCTCTTAGTATTATGCTTATGGAATGGAATGAGTAAAATGATATTACCAACATTTTCATTTGCATGAAAGGTAAAAACACTCTGGCATGAGTAGCCCCTTTCTCCTAGCTTAACAGACCTACATGAGAAGACAAAGTTTAAAGTTTGGCAGTTTGCGGTTCAGAACAAGTGATATTCACAATTCAATTTATTTGCACCAGGATTTGGAAGTCTGACCCATCCTTCTAATACTCACACGTCACTCCATTCAACAGGTTGCTGGGCACCTGCTGTTTTAGGTGCTGTGGGCTTAAGAGTCCAGGGATAAGACAGTCATGAGGAAAATGAACATATAGTGTGATACAAAGGAATTGGTGCAAGAGTCACTGCTGTCAGGGTACTTGACATAAATGGAGAGGAAGCCAGGGGGATATTAAGCTGAGACCTGAGAAGGTGTGGGTGATGGGAAACAAAGTCAAATGGAGAAGCTTGTGCAAAGTCCCTGAGGCAGAAAATAACTTGTAGGTTAGAGAAAATGAAAATAGGCCAGTGTGAATACAGATATTGATTAGCAGCCACATTATTCAAGGGACAATAAAGTGAAATTCCCTAACAGAGATTTCTTCCCTAGACAGGCTTGGATGTACCCATGGGTTACTTTTGTGTTGCTGTGACAAGAACATCTAGAGGAGGGAAAGTTTATTTTTGCTCATGGTTTCAGAGGTTTAGTTCCATGTTCAGCTGAGTCCATTGCTCTGGGCCCAGGGTAAACAGAGCATTATGGTGGAAGGGAATGGTGGAGTGAAAGGACACTTGCAGAGTCCAAGCAAAGTCCAAAGACCACGCCACACACCAGAATCTCATGCAAAAGATTCAATGTCAGTAGCATGAGGCAAACGGACAAGGCTGTCCCTCTAAGGAGAGCAGCACTGTGTCGGCACTCACAGAGCAGCTTTCTAGCCTGCAAGAGAAATGTCATAAGCTGCTTAGGAGTTGTGTCATAAGCTGGGGTGGGGTTGATCTTTAATCAGGCACAGTTCTTATGGGAAGTTAAGCAGCATTGCCTCAGAATGGGAACTTTGGAGCCTCTAGATAAATTGGCTCCCAGCCTAAAATGGCCAATCTGATGCCAATATTGATCTGATGCCAATATGGAGGAGTTCTGTTCACCTCATGATGGCCAGCACAGGAAGATCGAGGGCAAAGGCCACAGGGAAGATGACCCTTTCAGGGCACACCACCCCAAGGGCCCACCTCCTCCAGCCACAACCCACCTGCCTAAGATTACCACCCTTCAGTCTAGGTGGACTAATTAATTAGGTTCAGCTCTCACAATCCAATCATTTCACCTCTGAACATTCCTGCATTAACACAGGAGTTTTGGGGGGACCAGTCATATCCAAACCATATCAACTCATCAGTTTGCTCTAGTGAATTTCCTTTATCTATTTTCTGTAGCAGCAATACCCATTTCTGAGACCAATTCTGTGTTAATATATCATATATTAGGATACAGTTTAGTCTTGCTACTTTGTGAATTATTGTCTGTCTACATGTCTCTGTTCTGATCTATTAAGTTGAGTACATAGTTTAGCTTTAGGAGACAATCTATTTCCTTTATTTCTAAGTTCTTAGATCATTCTATTACCCTCAGTGCCAGCAACAAACTCATCACACTTTAACTTTCAAATACTCTTTTTATGTATTATCAAATGCCATTACAATAAAAATCTTAGTATATAATTATTAAAATAATTATATTAGTGTATAATTAATTAGTGTATAATTATATTAGCATATAATTACATTAGTATGTTATTAAAAAGTATTAATTCTCAGTAAGCTTATTCCTTACTTTGAGTAATATTTTCCATAAAAAACTGGCACTCAGTTGCAGATATTTAGGACATTTCTATGATGTATGTGGTTTCTCTGGCTTTAAAATAAGCATTTGTTTATTTGCTCACTTTCTCTTCAAGAGAGGCAACACCGCCAGTAACAGTATTATTATAATCCCCATTTTATAGATGTAGAAACTGGGCATTTACAACTCAAGTACTCAATAAATATTGGGAAATATTACTTTTCAATCATAACCCTCTTTAAGCTCTATGTTATGAATGATCTTTAAATGTAGGATAATTATCCAGCATTTACTCTCCTCTCATGTGAGGGCTTAAAAAGGTTTAGCGGGCTGGGGTTGTGGCTCAGTGGTAGAATGCTCGCCTCACACATGCAAGACCCTGGGTTCAATCCTCAGAACCACATAAAAATAAGTGAAATAAAGGTATTAAAAAAAAAAAGGTTTAGAGACTTTTAAGTACTCTTTTACTTGAAGGGTAAAAGCAGAATAATGAAAGACAAATAGATATCTTACGTGGTAAACTGACTAACTAATCCATAATGAGAATAAAACTTTCTTCTAAACATTGTTTCTTTAGGGACAGTTCTTATCCCAGGAACTACTCAGCTGACCCAGAAAGACCTCCTCTACAGACTACAGACTTCAAAAGCGAAGTGCATTATTACCGATGACTCACTGGCCCCAGCAGTGGATGCTGTTGCATCTACATGTGAAAATCTCCACTTCAAGCTACTTGTGTCTCAGAACTCCAGAGAGGGTTGGGGGAACCTCAAGGAGATGATGAAGTGAGTAGCCTTCCTTGTAGAACACAGAAACAAAGGCAATAACAAAAAGTAGTGATCAAACAAATGCTAATTAAAGCAACAGGCAAAGAAAACAATTCCTAATTATTGCTTTAGTAGTACTAAGCTCTGAAGCAGGGAGGGGCTTGCAGTGTTTTTTTTTAGGTTGCGATGCCCAGGAAGAAATTAAGGAGATGAAAAACAGTGTATAAGATGTTTATTAAGGTGTTTTTTGGGGAATCAACAACTATGAAAGAAAGGGAAGGATGTGGGATTGGGCAAAGGAAGAAATGAACCATGATATATTCCCTGTAATAACTCTTGGCCAACCCACTGGCACCTCAAAACTGTTTATAGCTAAAGCAAGAGGTCCCGGCCTTATATACCCACATCTATCAGTTATTGGATGGTGACTGTCCCTAGAGAGAGCTCTCTTCATTCAAGGCGATCTCTAAAGAGGGCTCCTAGCTCCTGGGGAGAGTAAGTCCTTCATCCTGTAGAGGGATCCAGCAGGTACATCATCGTGCCAACCACAAAGCTGTTACCATCTTCCAGGGAAATGGATCATAATTGGTCCTCTGTGTAGGCTCTAACATCCCCTGCTGATAGCACCACTTCTGTTGGGTTATAATTAATAAAACAGCATTGATGTTAATGGGTGCAATTATAAAATGAAGTTACACTGATGTTCAAGTCCTTCCCTGGGGTGCTTCTAGGAATCAGTAGAACTTTGCCAGGTAGTGGCCATATCTCAGCATTAGGCTGGCAGAGATTTCCTTTTCTATAATGAGCTGCCTACATTTTTGCAAGAATTTGGGAGCATGCTTGCAACTGTGGACTTGTTCCTACCTCCTTTATGATAGCCAACTCTTATCAAAGACCAAGTACTATTCTAACAAAAATAGTATTAAAATGGCAATGATAGCTAACATTTATATGGAACTGTTTGTGTTTCAGAAGCTGTTCTAAGCTCTTCAGATATATTAAGTCACTTAAATCTTACAATGACCAGAGGATAGGTATTATAAGTATACAGATGAATAAGGTCAGATGGTAGTGTTTGGCAGAGCTGGGTTTTACAGCCAGCTGGCTTCTGAGCCCATACTCCTAACCACTATATTTACAATCTCTAGTAGTAAGAGATCAGCACAATAAGCCAGTTTTAGATTTTGAGGACAACCGTACCTGTGATGGAGATGATAGGCACATGACTATAGGTATTATTTTCAAGGAACACAATTCTGGACTCATAGACTGGGTTTGAAACCAGCTTTTCTATATTTCTTATGGCCTGGATATTTCTTTCCTCTCATTCTGAACCTAGTATTCACAGATAAATCTATAAACTTCTTAGATACCTGATGTATACGCATGCAGAGTTTGCCTTCTCTTGGCTGCCCTAATGCACAAATTATTTAGAACTAAAAGATCTTCTTCCTCTTTCACCAGAGTCCTTCCTTCCCTGGATAGAGGACTGTATCCTCTTCAGTCTTATTTTTGATTATACCCAGAACTGTGCAGAATCTTGTGGGGAAACAGAAAAACTATCCTTTCAGAAGTTGGCAAATATTTTCTACAAAAGAGAAAGGAGCTTCAATATTAAGGTTTTGGTGGGCGTAGACTTATGCTCTGCCATTACAGTGTAAAAACAACAAAAGCTAATACACCAATGGACATGGCTCTGTGCCAACAAAACTTTATTTACAAAAATAGGCGGCAGGTGAGATTTGACTGAACAGCCATAATTTATAAGTCCTTGTTATTACTCATGATCTGTATTAACATAATCATTTTTAGAATTCTGTGTGTGTGTGTGTATGTGTGTGTGTTGTGTGGTGCTTGGGGTTCCAGGGCCTTGCACATGGGAGGCAAGTATTCTACCATCTGTAAATGCAGCCCAACATCCTCATTTTTTTTTTTTAAATCACATTTTAAAGCATTCACAGTAGAGAGGAAGGGGAAATTCTTCATAAGTCCATGATTTTAAGAGGGTAGAATTCTTATTCTGCCCAGCAATTGTTTTTATGCTTTAATCCTTCTTTATCATATAGTAAGAAGCCCCAAAATCATTTATCATCTATAAGTTTTTGATAGCAAAGTTTATTTTGATTCTAGAAAGCACCTAAAAAGATGGAGGTGGGGGTAACTTTTACCTTGGGATTCAGTCCAAGTCACTGGGGCCTGATTCATAAGATGAAGAGATCAGAGGAGATGGCTTCTCAAATCCCTGTCAGTGGCAACAGTCTACAGCGTTGTGTTTTCTGTACATAATCATTACACTCTTTCCTTTGCAGACATGCCAGTGACAACCACACCTGTGTGATGACAAAACACGATGAGATGATGGCCATTTACTTTACCAGTGGAACAACTGGACCTCCTAAAATGATTGGACACACCCACAGCAGTTTTGGTTTAGGATTATCTGTAAATGGAAGGTACTTCCACAGACCTTCAGCTTGAAGTGTCAAAAATGAAATGATGATTCATGTGTTGGCCTTTAAAATGTGTTTTCCTACAAATTTAACATTTTAACACAATTAACAAATTTATCCATTAAAAAAATTTATACATATATTTATACATGTCAAATTTCTAAAATTTAACAGATTTATACATCAGGATTATTATTCTCCCAGGTTCTGGCTGGATTTGACACCCTCGGATGTGATGTGGAATACCTCAGACACAGGCTGGGCAAAGTCTGCATGGAGCAGCGTTTTTTCTCCCTGGATCCAAGGAGCATGTGTATTTGTACACCACTTGCCCCGTTTCGAGTCAACTTCCATCCTGCAGGTAAGGCAGAGCGAGAGGGAGGTCCACATTAGAAATGCATCAGCATTATCACTAACTGGTGAATAGCCTAATTTGCAAGATCAGATAGATAACATGATTTAAGATATTTCACATCTAGAAAGTCAATAAGCCTGAAAAATAGAGAAAAGTTGTAAGTGCATTTACATTAAAATAAGCAATGTCTACATTGTGCTGTGCCTACCATAGATATTTAAGCATATAATAAAGCTGTAGTAGGCCAAGAGTTTGCTTTTTCTAAATTGCAGACACTCTCCAAATTTCCCATCACCGTCTTCTGTTCAGCGCCAACTGCATACCGAATGCTTATACAGAATGATATGAGCAGGTAAGAAATGTTGGTAAACAGGCACTTAGTAGAGGGAGGAAAAAGCTAGAAAATAAAAGACCTTTCTGCCTAAAAACATTGCTCTCGAGGAGGGGTGCAGGATCTAGCAAACTCTTCCTTTTCTTCCTCCCTCTTGCTGACATTCTGTGAATGGTGATTACTGTGTCCAGGGCAGGTTCCCCCAAGGAAGGAGAGGAAAGGCAGGGTGAAGCCATGTTTACAGCTGAGTCCAGTGTTTATAGGCAAGAAGATACTTAATCTTTTGAATGGTGACTATTACCTGAGCAGAGACAGCAGAGAAGTTCCTCCTATTTGGAACCTTGTCTCAGCAAACAGAAAAGAAGATGCATGTCTCTAAATCTATTATGGATTCCATTTGAAAGGGTAGATTGGTAATCTGAACCAATTTTACTATACTCACAATGCTCAACACTTCCCATCTCCAGATGTGAGGGAAATTTTAATTGATCATTAAAGATGTTATTATGGGTTACCTTCCCTAAGGATCCCTGGTTTTTCTTCGCACAGAGTTGTGTCCTCCCCAACCCAACCCTCAAAATAAAGGAGAAAAGGAAAAGAAAATTTGGTATTTTCTGTGTCATTTTATGATCTGCTTATTTTGTATCAGAAGTAATCTTAATTTCCACTTCTTTACACTTTCTCCTCCTAAACCTAACTGCTTTCCTGTCTTCTGAGAAGCTATAAATTCAAAAGTTTAAATCACTGCGTGAGTGCTGGGGAGCCAATCAACCCAGAGGTGATTGAACAATGGAGAAACAGGACGGGCCTGGATATCTACGAAGGATACGGACAGACAGAAACGGTACCCGACCCCACTGAAAAGATGGGGCTCAGCTTGATTTAGTCGGATGAATAAAAACCAAAGTCTCTGTGATGTCCTCGTGCATCTTCCAGGGATACAGGAAGGAGTGGTGTGGCTAGAAAACAGTTATAATAATAAAAGCCTCAGGAAGCGAGTTGGAAAAAAAAATCTCTGAAATATACACTTGTTTAATAGCCACTTGTTGAGGAAAAACTGTTATTAACTGATCAGCATGAAGGCATTAAGATATTTTTTTAAATGAAAAAATATTGGATCTATGTAAAGAAAGGTTTCTCCTAAAAGTGATAAGGAGCTTCCTTAGGGCTGCCTCAAAATGGAAAACGCTGGCTAAGCTCCTTGTTACTTGAAATATTGAGTCTATTAGAATCTCCTTGGCAAACATATTCCAAGAAAGTTCTTTATAAAGAGTTTGCAGAGATGAGAATAAGAAGAAATTCTAGGGGACATTAATGAAGTAAGAGCAAAGGTGGCTATTTGGTAGAAGGAAGGGTAAGATGGAGCAGATGAGCAAAAGGTTAAAAGGAAGTTTTGTCTTTTCATGATGCTTCACTGTATAATGCTTGAACTTATCATTGTTAATGTATTACTTGATCCAAAATTAAAATAACCAAAAACAAAAAGCAAAATTGACAAATTATTTAAACAGAACCATCATATCAATATTAGTACACCCTTCTAATGAGTACAAATATAAACCTACTCATGTTTTTATAAACATTAGTTATGGATTTACGTCTTATAACTTTTATTATGTATTTTGTACATTTTCCATCTCTATACTCTGTGAGAATAGAGACTTTATTTTGAGCATGGTTCATACTAAGTTCTTATTAAATATTTGTTGAATGATAGATTAGTAAATGAATCTTAGTTACTTATATCCCCTTTTTCTTCTTCTTACACTAGGTGCTAATCTGTGGAAATTTTAAGGGAATGAAAATTAAACCTGGCTCAATGGGAAAACCTTCTCCTGCTTTTGATGTTAAGGTTTGAACATCCCCTTCCATGACAATGTCTAACAACCCAATGTGTTTCCCACCTGTCCCCATATACCACTCCTTGTTTTGGAGACAATTCCATGTTACTTCCATGATACCTTAATTTCTATACAAAGATGGATATGGGCTAGAAATTTTAGCTGGGGTCCCAATTACTTTACAATATCTATATTGTACTATGTAGTTCCAAGCATTTCATAAGTATAAACTCATTAGTTTCCAGGAGGAACCTAAATACATACTAATATTAGAACCATTTCCTGATAAGGACATAGAGAAGGAACAAATCCAAGGTCACAGAGCTGGCAGCTGCTAGAGTAAGGATACAATCCCAAGCAATCTGCCTCCAATATCATACTCAACCACAACATCATATGCATCTGCTGAGGGGGGTCAGTATTTCTTGTGGGGATCAACTAGGCCAAAAGAGGCACAAGTTCAGAGTGCCTGCCTATTTCCAGGCTTTTGTAACCACTGCCATTACTACCAACTGGTGATTAGAAAATATTCTGCTTCTCCATCTGCACAGTGTACAGGGACAGAATTGTTCTCAGACTGACCCAGCTGCAAAGCTAGGGACAGACAAGGGAACTTTCACTAATATGAAAGAGAAAGCAACAGCAGCCAAAAGGCAAGATGGATTCACTTCCAGGGGAGGGAGCTCAGATTCTATCTTACATGGGGCCTTCCCTGGAAATTCTGATGTAATAGATTTTGTATAGGACCCTAAAATCCATGTTTTTATTTTTAATAAGATATATTGCTACATAACCTGGTTCATGCCTATAATCCCAGCACCTTGGGAGGCTGAGTTAGGAGGATCTCAAGCTCAAGGCCCACCTGGGCAATTTACCAAGACCTGATCTCAAAGTAAAAGAGCTGGGGATGTAGCTCAGAGGGACATTGCTCTTGGGCTTGAGTCCCAGTACCACGGGTGGCGGGGGAGATAAAGCAAATTGCAAAACTATATATTATAAAGTGATCTTATTTTTTTCTATGTCTATGTTGCTAAAAGAATATTACCAAAATGTGATTATTATTACTGGATGATAGACTTTAAGAAAATTGTTATCACATTTTGGCAATCTGCATTTGATAATATTTTATGTGTGCAAGAAGAATTTAAATATATACATTTCTCTAAGGCATACTTAAAATATATTTTTGAAGTCTACATCCCTAAGTGGTAAAAAAAATACAAAGTTAAGATTTAAGATGTGATATTGAATAAAAATTCTCTTAAAATGTTTTTTCTGTTTTATCTTAGATTTTAGATGAAAGTGGCAATATTCTACCTCCTGAACAAGAAGGAGATATTGGAATTCAAGTTCTACCTAACCGACCATTTGGCCTTTTTACTCATTATGTAGTAAGAGACTTGTTTTTAAATCTCTTGTTTTCTATTTCTCAAAACTGCTTGGTTAAAAAAAAAAATCATTTAGGCAGGTACTTGTCCCTTTCTGAAGAGATTCATTTTCCTGAATGGTAATTCCACAGAAAGGGAATTGAAAAAACATTTGAATGCTTACTAAAGAGCACAGTGGTCCCACAGGCTAGATAGTCATAAAGGCAAGAAGGGAGCCCTAGAAAGAAGACAGCCTGTTACATCCACATCCTCTTGACATCCACTGATCCTCTTAACCATCAAATCATACCCACTCATTTTCCTGACATCCGATTAGTGCTGTCTCTTCTTAGGAGGAGTGGGAGGAACAAGTATTAGGGCAATCTGATTAAGTAAATTCCTCCCTCTTGAGGCTTTCCAGTTCCTTACTGTTTGCAAGCACATTTCATCTCTAATCATGATAAGCAAATTAAAGCAAAGTTTATTTCAATATAATAAGAGGCATAGGTCCAGGTTCTACTTGCCCATGAACTTTACATACTATGACAATTCTTCATTTATTTTTCTTTTTATGCCAGAGTTCTGTTTTTGGTGTTGGTGCTTTCTTTTAACTCTGAGTATTCATTTCTCTCTTTTTCTACCAGTGTTAGGTATTAGCCAATTAGCAAAAGACTTAAATTAGCCTATTTTTGGCAGGGGGCAGGGTCCTGGGCATTGAACTCAGGGGCACTCAACCACTAAGCCACATCCCCAGCCCCATTCTGCATTTTATTTAGAGACTGGGTCTCACTAAGTTGCTTAGTGCTTCACTTTTGCTGAGGCTGGCTTTGAACTTGCAATCCTCTTATCTCAGCCTCCTGAGCCAGCTGCTGGGACCACAGGTATGAGCTACCCCACCTGGCTTAAATTAACCTATTTCTCTGAGCTCTTCCAACATTTGTTTTGTGACTTATCTATTCTTTGTAACTATAGTTTTCCTCTCTTAGGTTGGTTGGATTGGGTCCATGTTGGAATTTCATCCCAATTTCATACTCTGGTCCTCTTCCTTCTAAGGGTTTCTCAAAGGAGATAGACTTTTTCTTTGAACATTTAACAAACCAACTGAACAGAAGAGTCACATTAATAAAAGCCTATTTAATTTTGGCAGGATGATCCTTCAAAAACAGCTTCAACTCTACGAGGCAACTTCTATGTCACGGGTGACAGAGGGTACATGGATAAAGATGGATATTTTTGGTTTGTTTCAAGATCGGATGATGTCATATTATCCTCTGGGTAATTTTCTTCTCCAACTGTGTATGTCTGTGTTAACTGATCATCAGTATACAGGAATGAGTCTTGACTCCTGCCATATGCTTTTTCAGTTATCGGATTGGGCCATTTGAGGTAGAAAGTGCCTTGATGGAGCACCCTTCGGTTGCAGAGTCAGCTGTTGTCAGCAGCCCTGATCCCATCAGAGGAGAGGTAAATGAACTGATTCATTTCAATTATAATTGATTGGCAATCTAACACATATTTTTACACAGTACTTCCTTGAAACAGAATAACACAAATGCTTCATTCACTACATATGCAAGCCTGACAAATATTCATTTACTTAGCCAGGTAGATTAGTAAACCATACCTGTAATCCTAGATACTCAGGAGGCTGAGGCAGGAGGATCACAAGTGAAAGGCCAACCCGGGCAACTTTGAGACTCTGTCTCAAACTAAAAAGGGCTGAGGATATAGTTTAGTGGTAGAGTTCTTGCCTAGCATGTGTGAGGCCCTGGGTTCAATCCCCAGTTCCACACTCACCAAAACAAACAAACAAACAAACAACAACAACAAAAAAACATACTAAGTGCAAGTTACATAGAAATATGCTAGTCAGAAAGAACTGCTACAGACCAAAACTGAAAAATGTGTACTAGAAAGAATCTGAACTTGAATTCCATGGAGTACTGGGACAAAGATGGGATGATGTCAATCATCCAGAATCACTCCAGGACAGGGCTTTAGAAGTCAGATGGATCAAATTGTTACCCAAAAGGGGTGGAAGCCAATAAGGTGCTTGGCATTGCAAAGGAGGACCTGGTGTCAGACATCAGTGGTGAGATGAAGGTCAGAGTCAGGAAGTGAGGCAGCCATGAGTAGAAATGAGTAGGCCTATGAGCAGAAGTTTCAGAAATAAGCAGGGGCTGACCGTGTGGTAGATCGTGCTTAACAGTCCATGCCGCTCTTCAGGCCTCTTTTGCCAAGCAAAAACGCCTCCAGCATTTGTGTAAAAGTAGGCTCCATGTTCCCACAGTATTTTTCTAGTCCATATCCAGTCTTGTATAGCAAATTCCAGAAGAATTGATCAAAAACAGATAAAATGAAGATTTGAGGACGGTATCTCAAAACAATGAATCAAGTTTTGAAAACAACATTGACATCAGTAGTCCAGAATGTTCTGTACCATGTATTTGAGTATCTTATCTCGAATGCCAGGTGTAGGACTTGAAGTTCCAGGTAAGGGGCAGGGTTACAGGTATTTAGTCTCAGTGGCTGAATAGGTCAAGTTTAAGGCAGAAATGGGAGAGGTTTATTGTAGTACAAAGAGGGTATATTTGTGTCCCAGGACTGATTCTCTTAATTAATGTTTGATGCAAGAGGATAAGCTTTAAATCTTCCTAAATGGCCCAAAGTAGTTTTGGATATTGACCAGCACTTGCTGGTTTGGAATGTTTCTATAACAAAAGACCCTATTTATTAGGAAAGGGAATATATAGTCCCTGTAGGTAAGAGCAGATCTCTTCACTGCATTCTACCGGCAGGTTTCCAGAGTCTCAGCCTCTCCCATGCCCTTCATTACCTTTACCCACCTAGACAAGTGCTGACTTGAAACACAATGGTCCTGGACACTTTAGGGCTAGGATTGGCTGATACCCCACAGATGACAGAGCAAAGATCTGATAAGTGGGTTGTGCAGCCCTGATTCAACTCTGGGGTCTTGATATAGGACTTGGACTTGGCCAGTTTCCCAATACTTGTGGGCTGCAACATTTCCTGGCAAAAGATGCATGGGTGTTTCAAACAAGGGGTCCATGCCATGTGCTGTAGGACATAAGCAGCTCTTTTCTTTCTGGTGGCAGACCTATTTTAGCTGGGTTGGGTCCTTTTCCGCGTTAGGTCCAGCCATGTCTTTGGGTAGCAAGTTCTAGAAGAATTAATCAGGGGAGGGAGGGGAAAGGAGGGGGCAAGGGGATAGGAATGATGGTGGAATGAGTTAGACATCATTACTCTAAGTACACGACATATAAGACAAGAAAGGTGTGAAAATATTTTGTGTATAATCAGTGACTTAAAAAATTGTGCTTTACGTGTGCAATATGAAATGAATTGCATTCTGCCATCACACATAACAAATTAGAATAATTTAAAATAATTTAATTAAAAAACAGATAAAACGAAGATTTGAGGACAAGATTCCAAATATTGATAATTTTTAATCAACTACACCATAGTCTTTCAATCTAATATGTACATTTTTACACTGTTGCCTATATTAAACACTGTTGCAGTGTTTGAACTTAAAAAAAAAACTACTTTTGACAATTTTCATGAATATTTAATTTTTTTCTCTGGTAAATTATCCAAAAGCAAATAGGGTTTAAAATGAGTATTTCCTTAACTTAACTCCTATATTGATAATTTTTGTACATTCTCAGTTGATTTTCACATTTTAATATTTTCAGGAGTTTCACATGGTTACTTTGCTTTTAAAATTTTTTAGCCAGTGAGTTACTTCATCTATTTAACTACATTTTCACGATTTTAAAAATGTGTGCTTTTTATAGCCTCTTTAAAAGACAAAATTTCCAATGTGTTAAAGGAGTGGATAACTTGCATTTGTTATTTTTGAAAATAACAGATACTTTAAATACTATTTTAACATTGGATTGTGAAATAAAGAGGTGAACACTATTTGTTGAGATGACTGGTTCCTAAATTTTTCTTAGCTCAAACATCACTCTGAAAATTTGAAAAAGGCCATAGGCCACTGTCTTCCTTAGGCAATGATAAAAATGTCCTATATTTGCACCATTCAATATAATGGCCTCAGATTATTTTAATACCTGAAATGCAGCTACCATGACTAAGGAAATTTAATTTTGGTTGATTTTAAGTTAAACATCCACATTGCTAGTAGCTACCATACTGAATGATATAGCCATAGACTTAGAAAAATCCAAGATTCACAGAATTTCAGAGAAGCTTTGAAGCCCATATGTTTATTTTTAGGTTAAAAAAATTAAAATAAAACAAAACAAAACCCTAACTCTTTGTACTTTTACTACCATACCTATGAACTATCATTTTTGATGACTTCCTATGGGACAGGCATTATTATAAGCCTTAAGTCTTTATTGACTTATGTACTCCTTGCAGCTTCTTTTACAGAGAAGGAAAGTGAAACACAGAAAGATGACCTAACTTGCCCAAGATGACACAACAGACTATGACTTGAACCCAGGTTGTCTGACTTCAGAGCTCATACTCTTAACTATAATTTTAGGTTGTTCCTTGTTAATTTAACATGTTTCTGCAATGTTCTGTGAAGACTTTTAGAAAGACATAACAGAATTTATTTGGGTAGAGTCTTAGAAACTACACTGGAATAGAGTTTGTTGTTACAAAAAGAGGCTGTGCTTAGTGCATTGCCAAGTTTCAAGAGGAAACTTTATTAAAGGAGATAAAAATAAGGCAATAAGTCAAGGACAGAGATGGTCAGAAATAGGTCAGAAAGCAAGATTTCAAAATGTAGTTATATGAGAGAGTTCAAGAGTATACCATAAATAAATCAGGGTGGAACAAGAAGTGCGGGAGTCAACTGGCTAGTTTAGCTCAAACTGTTTAACTTTTTGTGCACACTACCCAGCAGCACAAAGATTCCCAGTTGGAGAAAGTAAGATGTACTAAAAAAATACAACTCATCTCTCTGCTGTTTCAAATATTTATTTTAGGTCGTAAAAGCTTTTATTGTTTTGAACCCTGATTACAAGTCACATGACCAAGAACAATTAAAAAAGGAGATTCAGGATCATGTAAAAAGAAGTACAGCACCTTACAAATACCCAAGAAAGGTAGGCATCCTATTTATGATGAATATTTGTTCAGTGTTATGGAATTTTTTTCAACTGTTTATTTTCTCCTTTTTAATGAACACGCTCCTCAAACATGCTACATAAAGTGTTTCAAATTGAACTAATGATGTGTAAATAAGAATCTGAATTTTTAAAATTAAACTCTTAACTTGGCTCAGTGAACTTGCGGTAAATACTAAATATCAAGAAAAAATCTCCTTAACAATACCCCCTTCCCTATTTGGTTACCCAAAACCCACAACAGGTGTCCTAATCTTTTCATCTAGAATTCATAATAGAACTACTACATAAATGGCTTTATCTAAAGATGAAAACTTTTAGACTAATTTTCTTCTTCTTGATATTTAACAGGTAGAATTTATTCAAGAGCTGCCAAAGACTATTAGTGGGAAGATAAAAAGAAATGAACTGAAGAAAAAAGAATGGAAAACAATTTAAATTCATCCCATTATCATAGTACATATGAAATAAACACAGAGGCTGAATTTGAAATAAAAAAATTCAATAGATTCCTATGCACCAGTGTCAATGTTCCTATAATTTGGCATCACAAAATAAATGTCATCAGTTGCTCAGGAATTTTTATTTTGATACTTCTTTTTTGTAGTACTAGGGATCAAACCCAGGGCCTAGCACATGCCAGGTACATGTTCAATAACTGAGCTATATCCCCAGATCACAGCATTCTTAAATGTTTGGTATAGAAGCAGTTTCTATCAATCAATCAAATCTCTGCCACATTGGATTTTAATCCTTAGTTAAATAATTCCAATATGTGAATATACAAATTGGAATAATTAAGCCTTGAATAAGACTAAACAACTTATAATTTTTCAGAAAAGTAAAAAATATCAATCTGGAGATTATCATAATTATCAAGTATCTACCTAAAAATAGAGTAGGAAATTTTATTAGTCACATTTTTATTCAAATAATTTAAAAATAGCTTATAATTTGTTTCAAGGTCTAACTAGAAAAATGAACATCATGTACTATTATTGCTTATTTAACCTAATGAATACAGTTTATAAAATATTTTGTCATTCTTCAAGGAGGCATGAAAATTCAGCAAACATTATTATATGAAATATAAATAAAATGTGTAAGATAGTACCAGAATATTCATGTTTGGGAATTTAAGGAGTAATTAGGATTCATACCTGAACACAGAAGGCAATTGTTAAGCAAATGGTGAGTGAAAGTGGAAGGCATGAAATATATTTTCTTTCTGTGTATGTGTGCTTGTGTGTGTGCACGTGTGTGTGTGTATCTGCTACAATACAGTCTACAGAATTCAGATATGCTAAGACTCCATAACTCGTAGCCCTATACTTTTTTATCTTTCCTGCACTAAAAGTCACATAAAAGTTATCCTAAAAGTAAAAACTGTTTAACTGTACAGAAAATTTATCAATTCCTCATTGAAGGTCTGAGTCTCAAAGAATTTTTAGTAGGAAGACAATTACTGTCACGAATATGGCTTGTTACTAGAGAACTAAAAGTGAGTCTCCCTGAGGAATGAGAGAGAAGCGTGTTGTTGGCTTTTTCCTTTTGAAGTGTTTGTTCCCATTTAAAATAATCACAACACTTTCTGTTTTCTTGATATTTGCCAATAGGGCAACAATAGAAGACTCTTCCATGGTTTGGTCCATTGTTAGAAACAACAAGTCTCTTAGATCTCCGGCCACACTTGCATAAGGGAGGTGTCATTTTCCCACTCTTCCAAGGCTCCTGTAGATTCACTGCAGAAGTTAATACAGCGGGGGCAACCTTCTGACAAGAACTTTTTCCTGGGGAACAATCAGATGATGCTGGCTTTTCTTCATGAATAGTGAAGGTCTGTTTTTTTGCTGGTGGGAAAACTGGGGGACTAGGTGAATTCCTTTTAGAGACACCTAAAGAAAGAGGATGTTTCCCCAAAACTGAAGGATGAGATGCACTGGCATTAACACTGTTAAAGGCACATAATTTGCGTTCAGGTAATTTAAAGGCAGACACATCTGAACCTGGATATTTAGCTTCTTTTACATTATAAATAGTAGTGTGAGGACTCTTATACACAATGGACTTAGTAGTCTCCAATTCCTTTAAAGTTTTCTTGATGCCTCCAAAATTTTCATGACTCAGCACTTCTGACTCTTTTAAAACCATTACTCTTTCTCCAGAACTAAGTGAAGTCTCTACATTTGTGTCACTAATAGGAAGTAGACTATCTATATTTTCCTCAGGTTGAGATGCTGGCAGTAAAACTATGTCTTCCCATTCACCCAACATAGGCAAAGAGTCAAGAGTAGAACTCATTTCCACTTCAGAAACATGATTAACAGAAGGAATGGTAGTAGAGACAAGTACCAATTCTGAATTAAATGTTGAAGACTTAGATTTGGTATTAACTACAAGATGTTCATTTTTTTTTTGCTTCTGCACATAGATAGATGAATTTAGGCTGGGAGACTGCAACTGTCCCAAAGATGTAGAGGGCTTAGTATTAAAAACAGATAAGCAACTTTCGACATTGTGAGGACCGGCTTTTATACTGTTCTTTACTTGTAACTGATCCTTTTGTACTGTTATAGGGGAATTCACACAAACTAAATTCATTTGAACCTTTTCATGAGCACTTATTGTATTTTTAGGCTCTCTATCATGTATATTGGAACCCTGGATGCTAATGTTGCAGGCAGATGTTTCTTCTTGATTTGTATTCAAATTTCTGGCCAGAATGTTGGGCTTCTTCTTTGTGAGAACCTACGATTCCACAGACAAATCCAACAGCTTTAGAAATTCTGCATTTATACTTTCTTCAGCAGAAATTATGTGATATGACAAAAAAGAAATATGTCATCTGTTAATAAATGATCACACATATGAAATCCACATTTCAGTGAACCCATGACTACTCTGGAGTTTGAGATAACTGAATAAAAAGGGAATATACCACTGACCTTGTTGAAGGACCTTGTAATTTTCATTAGGCACCCATCTCTGATCATTTTCCAAGCAAGAAGAGCAGTATTGCGAGAATCATCCAACCCTGAGGAAATAGATATCAAACACTGAACTCAATAGTAGCGTAAAGAAAAAAAACAACAAGAAGAAAAAATTACCACTTAAATAAAATTGGGGCATAGTGTTAACTTTATAATCACCTACAAATTTTAATCACAATAAACTGGTCTTGTGGAAAGCTATGGCCACATTATCAATGAAAGAGATCTCCTAGATTTGCAGAGTAGGAAGTAAAAATTTGTTTCAGTTACTAAAAATGTAACTGGCATTCTATAGGAACCATGATTTGGGAATAGCCTTGTTTAGTTCTTTCACTAATCCACTGTATCATTTGGGTACTTGTTTAACATCTCCATTTGATTTGACTGATTAATTCTTTTCATTCTTTTTAGCAACTAGAAAGCCACTAGATGGCAATTTTTACATTAAATAGTTCATGAAATTGGTAACTCCAAAAACAGAAACAATTTGAATTGTGTAGATTAGGAGCAACTTTTAGGTTAAAGGATATTTGTTATTAATGGCATTATCAAAAAATGAAGTTTATATTAAAATTTTTTACAACACTTAATTGAGTTACATAATAAAATGATTTGCCACTTATACAAACCAGAATGTTCTCGTCCTGAGAATTCTATTCCCACTTCCTGCAAGGCACCGCTTAGTCCTTTTGGCTTTCTTCTATAGAAAAGCTGACCAAATCAAAGAAAACATAGCTAAAAATATTATTAATACTTGAAAGGCTAGATAGTAACCACTTTTTATAATTTTAGTTCTATTGAATTTTAAATATGCTTATTTCTTTTTTTAAATATTTATTTATTTTTCAGTTTTGTTTTTTTTTTTTAGGTGGACACAATATCTTTATTTTTATTTTTATGTGGTGCCAAGAATCAAACCCAGTGTCTCACCCATGCTAGGTGAGTGCACTACCACTTGAGCTACATCCCCAGCCCCTGAAATATGCTTATTTCTATTGTATTGTTTTTAAAGTCATATTTATATGAATATTCCCAAAGAAAATACCAATACCATGTATGGGAAATAATGTAATCATTTTTCAATAGAAGGAAAATGAACATGCCCTTGCCTTTCACCCTTACCTTATAAGTTGCTCTGAGATCAATCCAGGAATTTAAGAACACGGGTTTTAACAGTTGTTTTCTTTTACACTCATACTCCAGGCAAACCCCCAAGTCCCAGTCTTCATTAAGCAAATTAAAACAGAACAAAGTTATTTACGTCAGAATTTCCTTCCACTTACAAATAAATACGGAGGATGATATAAAATAGTACAGTAAGGCTTAATTGCTCTTCTAATAACTAATAATGCTAATAAATAATAACATGTATGCTTTTTATTCCTTTACATAACTTATTATTAAAGAAATTACATTGGTAACTTAGTTTCAAAATGATTTCTTAAACACCCAATAAAACCCTTATTGTTTCAGAAACAAGATGTTAAATTAGGAACGTCATATTTCTTATATTCTAGGAAAATGTTAAAGTAATTGAAAAACTAAATATTTTATAGCAACTTGAATCCAACTATGACTATCAATCTGTGTTTTATCAAGGGTGCTATACTGCTGTCAATGACTATTAATGGCAATTAATTATTAATTTATCATGGTCATACAAAGACCTATGTTAAATGGTTCATTTTTTTTTCTTAATGTCTATATTAGTAAGGATCAATGCATAAAAGCAAAGGATGTGACCTCATGACTCTTTATTCAAGGATACAGAAAATACCATAATGAGTTTTCAATGAATCATTGTCTGAATTCAGAAGAACATAGAGGAACACCTTGAAAGATTCAAAAAGCTGATGCTTATATTTTTAAGGTATCCAGTATCATAATGTTAAAGATATGAGCAAATTTACTTTTCTTGGTTAACACTGTGAGGAACTTGAATTTATTTTCCTGGTCCAGGTTAAGAAGTATAATTCTAGCTGGGCGTGGTGGCATACCTGTAATCCCAGTGGCTGGGGAAGCTGACACAGGAGGATCTCGAGTTCAAAGCCAACCTCAGCAATGGCGAGGCGCTATGCAACTCAGTGAGACCCTGTCTCTAAATAAAATACAAAATAGGGCTGGGGATATAGCTCAGTGGTTAAGTGCCCCTCAGTTTAATCCCCTGTACCAAAAAAAAGAAAAAAAAAAGTATAATTCTAGATTACTAAGTAGAAAATTAGCAATAAAGATTTTCATCGTTGGGCTGGGGTTGTGGCTCAGTGGCAGAGCGCTCACCTCGTACGTGTGAGACCTTGGGTTCTATCCTTAGCACCACATAAAAATAAATAAACAAAATGAAGATACTGTGCCCATGTTTAACTAAAAAAATATATATTAAAAAAAAGATTGACATCGTTATAATGCTACCCATTTGTGGTTGATAGGAATAACTCAATTATTATTATTTTTTACCTGACCAAGTAACAAATGCACACAATTTTGCTGCAGAAGTAGAAGGCTCCGAAACCCCAGTAGCAAAAACAATTTTCTTCTGTTGCTGAATCTTATGAATCCATTTACAGAACTGAGATAAGCAAATCTTCAGAGGGGCTCCTTCATCAACTTGAGCCTGATTAGAGTCACAAAATCTGAATTCAACAATCAAATTCTATAATTATCAAGCAGACATTGTAATTATATGGGAGGATATAACAAAGAGGTTCTAACTGGCAAAGAGTTTATCCAGTGAAAAAATGTTAAGATACACAGGAGCTCTTTAACGATTAGAACTCACCAAGATAAGAATTTGGTTGATAAATCTAAAATTGGACAGAAATATAATCATTAAATCCAGAGTGACAGAAATAAAATAAATTTGAGTCACTTCATTTCCTTAGGATCATTTCTTTGTTTTTTTCCCCTTCCAATGCTGGGGACTGAAATCCAGGACTCCCACATGCTCAGCAAGCACTCTACCACTGAGCCGTAGAGCCAGACTTGATCGTCATGTTTATAACACAATTCTAATTTTTAAACATCCCAGTGGATTTTGGGAGAGGACATTGTTTCTCTTAACACTTAATAAATGGTATTTTAAACACCCAATAAAACCCTTACTGTTTCAGAAACAAGAGAAAGATGTTAAATTAGGAATGTCATATTTCCTATATTCTAGGAAAATGTCAACGTAATTGAAAAACCAAATATTTTATAGCAACTTTTTTTTTCTAAAACTGATTTATGAATCTTAAAATTTGCATCATACCTGTTTTATGCCTGTCAGCTCCATGCAAAATTCCGAAAGAATTGGATGTTCTTGAGGCTGAACATAAGCATGGAATTCGCATTCAATCTCTCCAGTTAATGTGTTCAGCAATACTGCTGGAAATTCAACTAAATCAAAGAATTATCAACCAACACTTGAATATACAAGTTTTAACAATGCTATATTCATTTTAAATTAAACATATATTGTCAAAATAGAATTATTAAACAATAAATTTCAATAAAAGCATAATAAGAGACCAAAGGAGTATGATATGAAGTAACAATAAACCATAAATAAAAATACTGAAATCATATTCATCTCTATAGTTCCATAATTAAATATGAAGACCATATGGAAGTTGAAATAATTGTTTTAGTTTCTATGCATTTGAGGTTTTGTATATAATTCTAAAACAATTATTTTACACAATGATACATTTAGGTATTTGGGATTTTGTTGTTTTTAAATAAAGACAGGTTTTATATAAAACTACCAATTCATAGACCATCTCCTAAACTATTGGCTGGTTTATATCTCTAAACTTTAAAATGACTACCTTAATGCTAAATTTGTTTGGAATTTATTGGAATTCCAGACTTACTTATTTCCTGGCTATTGTGGTGTTTCCCATCATTCCAGCAGGTGGATTCAAAATCAATCACAATTAAGTAGTCATACAACTGCTCTGCAAAAGATTAGGGTGTTCTTATGCTTCACTAGTGGTGAAAGTACAGGCTACAAAATGTAAAGAAATTAAGAGCATTACTTACTGGATTTGCTTCTTCCTAGTTTGTCATTTGCTGGTGCAATTGATTTTCTCCTAATTAATCCAAGCTGCCTAAAAATGTAAAACAACCCAATAAGATCAATGAACCCATTCACACTACTGGGCAAATGGCAAAGTACTCCTTAATGTGTTCTGATGGAAGAGAAACTAGACTTTGGGAGGAAAGACCTGGGTACTTTTTTTTTTCCCCCTTCACATCATCATACATATAATCTGTATAAAGATGAGGGTCTCCTTAGGGGAGGGGAAGGGGAATAGGAAGGACAGCAAAATGAAATAGACACTAGTTTTGCCGTATGTATATATGTGACTGTATGACCAGTGAGATTGTGCAACCTGTACACTCAGAAAAATGAGAAATTATCCCCCATTTGATTCAAATGTGATATGTCAAGATCATTGTACTGTCATGTGTAACTAACAAACAAAAACAAATTAAAAAAATAAAAATAAAAAGACTTGGGTTCTGGTACTGTAATCCTTTTTTTTATATTTATATTTTATTTTGAGACAGGGTCTCATAGAGTTGCTTAGTGCCTCTCTAAGTTGCTGAGGCTGGCTTTGAACTCATGATCCTCCTGTCTCAGCCTCCTGAGCGGCTGGGCTGTCATCCTCTTTTGATTTTAGTAGTCATTTTACCTACATAGACCTCAAGCACATATTAGCAAACTTAGGTTAATTTTATCTGCTCCCTGTATTTTACAGTAATGTTGGGGAACTCATGATTGTAGGGGTTCAGAAACACTGAAGAGCTTTAGTTATTTTTGTCCTTACACTTTTTTTTTTTTCCTTTTTCAAGTCTTTGCTATGCATACAGCACAATTCTGAGAAAATATGAACACAGGGCTGTGGAGAGCCACAGCTGAGTCAGAATGGCCCCTGGCATTTTGCCAGAAGGAATGGTTGAGAGGTGAGGCCAGCGAGCCATTAAGATGATGATAATTAAGTTAAGCTGTGTATAATTGCTGTGACTGGATGATGCTGGATTGAAACGGGCTTTCTATTCAGTTGTATATAGACCCCTGCTGGCCGGCAATAGGCCCAGTCCTTCAGGACAGGTGTCTCAGTGGTTCTCCTTTGCTAGCAAATCAATAAACCATCCTTTTTCCTTCTCAAGACCATTTTCTCTTGCTGGATTGGCATCAAGACAAGGACAGCTTTCTACACCAGGACAGCGTTCCACAACAAGGACTCAAGTACAGGTGAGACTCTGATGGGCAGGGAGAGTTTTTAACTGTTGTAGTGCTGTTTTGTATTTTTGCTTTGTTGTTATTGCTGCTAAGAGGTGGAAGGTGAGGGTAGGAATTTGGGAATAACTAATAACTAGCATTTACTGACTGTTACTACACAGCAGGTACTAAGCATACATGGTGAACTCATTTAGTCAGCAACTCTAGGAGGCAGACATTTTTTTGGTCCCCCAATTTTTTAGATGAGAAAATGGGTAATTTGTCAAGTGGACCGTTTTGGCCGGGCGCGGTGGCGCACGCCTGTAATCCCAGCGACTCCGGAGGCTGAGGCAGGAGGATCGCTAGTTCAGAGCCTGCACATTTTAACTGGGTCATTCGTTAGTCGTGCGGCCAACGGCATGATAGGTGCACTGGCGCCGGCCTGGGACCTCCCAACAGGTTACACGGGGCTGTCACGTCCCGTGGTTTTTCCCAAGGCTACAAGGGGCAGACGCAGGCTCCAGGCCACGGAGAAGAGAAAGCCGGGGCTCCTCGGGCTCCTTCCCGCCTAGCGGAACGCAGCCTGGGGCTGGAGACCCAGGTTCCGGCAGGAGCTTTTCAAAGCGTGCAGATCCCGGACGCCGAGAATGCGGAAAACCGAGGCCGCCACGGCGGACGCCGGCAGCGCAGCCCTGCCCGGGACGCCTGCGCCGGACCCAGAGCGACCACCCTCCCTGGCACCGCGGAGAACCCACTAGCCTACCGCGCCAGGCGCTTGGTTGCCATTCCCAACACTCCGGGTTCTCCGACATCCAACTGCCGGAAGTCCACTGACTCCCACTTCCGGTCCGTTCAAACGTCCGGCGCGGCTGAGGCGGCGGCGTTGGCAGAGGCGGCCGCAGCGCCTGGTGCTCCGTTCGTCGCTTCTCGGGCGTTTCCGAGACTTCGGGGTTGTGGGAGTGGTTTTAGGCGGAGAAGCCGCTAGGGGGCGCCCCCTTCGGTCTTTGCCAGCGGCCCGCGGCGTGGCCGGCGTTAGGGAGCCGTTTGGAATCCGGCCTCGGGAGGCGGACGGTTGGTGCGCGCGGTGGTGGGCGAGTCCGCGGGAAGGGGAGGCGCGTTGGCACCGTGGCTACCGAGGGCCGACGGGGAAAACGCTGTAAAGTGGGGAACGAGGGGCGCCTCGAGTCCCAGGGAATGGGGTCGTCGGAGTTTGTCAGATGTAGCTTGTCTTTCCCCACAGAATCATGGAGCCAGAGAAGGAGAAGACCGGGAGGCTCCCCAGGAAGGGCAGGAAGAGGAGACGGGTCCTCAACAAGCTGATCAGGACCCCCGAGGCGAGGATATCCGGTTCCGATCCCGTGGACAGGCAGCCCGAGCCCAAGGTGAGCAAAGGGAAGCCTACAGACCCCTCACTCCAGCCTCCTTCGGAGTCTCGAACCGGGATCCGCCTCACCCTCCCATTGCCTTTGCTGAGTGGGCTCTGTGATCGGTAAAGTGAGAATGATATTGTGCTGCTTTCCACTTTGGGGGCTGTTCTTTAAAACTTGCACAGTGCCTGGCGCACATACTTAACTGAGGTCTTCAGGATGCCAGGAGGCTTTCGAAGTTCTGGGAATAGCCTCGTGCACAGAAACACACAATTGGAATTGCGCTCCTGCAGTTCGCGTTCCAGTAGAGGAATAATGATGACAGCCAAACATACTTCATTCAGACTCTTCATTAACCGTAGATCTCTACCTTAATCTCATACATTTGGTTAGCAATATTTATCAAAAGATCTACCTGCTCTATTTGACTAGGAATTTATCTTGAAAATTTTTAGGTAAGTGTTATCAATATGGAATTTTTTTTCCAGATAGATAATAATTGTTCGGGATTATTATCTAATAAGCTATTCATTAAATGATAGGGAAAGATTCATTACATTAAATGATAGGGGATGGATAGTAAAAAGATGAATAGAATTGGGGCCTTGTAGTCTGTATTCTAATTGTTCTATTACCTGTTCATTTCTTTATTATAAAATGAGAAGTGTAGTACTTAAACAGTTGAATTCAATGATTAAACACATGTTAAGTGTTCAGAACTATATCTGGCTAACAGATGCTCAATATTAGCTTAAGGCCATGGGAGAAAATTTAGCAATAACTACCTATTTACTTATGTCACATAGACTTAATATGCTGCACTAGCAATCTCATGGATAGAATTATACTTTACTCACAGGAAAGTAAGACTTGGAAAAATTAAGATACTTGTCCAAGATTATAGAACTTGATATTTGAACTCTGGTAGTATGATTCCCAAGGTTTGAATTCCTGACCCCTACACTCAATTATGCTTTCCAGACAAAAAAATGAGTCATACACATGGATTTCATATTTATCTATTGTGTTTCTATTATCTATTACCTATTTCTTATTTTCTGAGTCTTTAATAACAACCATGACAACCATGAACTACTTTGATAACCAGATATAAGTGCAAAGTTTTCTTAAGGAGGTGGGAGATTCATTGAACTTCCTGTTGGCTGACTGCTTAGCTTAGTATGATCTAGTTGCTGTGTCCTTTCCCTCACACTACGATAACTGCAACATGCAATCTTGGCCCTAGTCAAACCATATTACCTGTTTGGACACAATATTCTTTCCAATGCGACAGACATTTTATTTTCAAGGCCCAGCCCTAGTGCTTTTCTGTCACTGAAACTTTTGGTCCCATATTTGTAATAGCACTTCCTCATGCTGTGTTGTAATTACCTGTCATTTTTCTTTCCTTAGTGGGATGGACTCCTTGAGAGCATGAAGCATTTTATTCATCCTAATATTTTTAGAACATAACCAAGTATAATTCAGGTTCTATAACAATGTTTATTAAATATGATAATAATATCACAGCTTATTTTAGGGCTTTATTTTTAATTAAAATTCTTAGTTATGATTGTAAAACTAATGAGAAACTAGAATGATTATTTGCCTTGCTTTATTGCCATTCTTGATCATCATGGTTTGCTATGCCCCTTTGCAGAGAGCCCGATTGGCTAGCATTTTAATTGCTGAAAACTGTGAAGTAACCCATGAACAGTTATGTGAGTTGCTGAAGTATGCAGTTCTGGGTAAACCCGATATTGAGAAACCCAGGTATGAGATGTGTATAGATCAACGGTCTCAAACTAGTATCTAAAGGGCCATGTCTGCTTACCAACATCTGTTATTCCGTGTATCCTCATATAATTTTTTAGTAATAGCTGCCATCAGTTAAATTTGGGAATTTCTAAATCAAGATTTTTTGATGTCTTTAAAAAACTAAAAAATCTAGCAACTGACTGTCTCTCCATTTGGCAAGTATTTGTCAAAGCTGAGTAATGGTTTTCCTCTTTAGATAACGTGTGTATGCTCCAGTGTCCTATCTGACCTGCTTCCCTTAGATATTTTATTTCTTTCCCCATGGTGTAGACCCATAGAAATAACCTGATAATATGTTAGTAGTTCCAGTCATTTTGTTTTATGAATAAAGAGCAAAGAGAATTTTGGTATTCTGATAGTCAATGCCATTATTATCTTATGACTTATCTTTTGAAAATTGTTTTTATACCAACAAATTATTACCAATTAATTTTATACCAACAAAATTAAAATTTTTAAATACCAGCATTTTACTGGGGGAGGTTGTTACAAATTGGCTAGATACTTCAAAAGCCACCTTCCTTATCAATAAACTGTACTATTAGTTTGTCAATTTATCTAAAATTGAATTTCTGGAAGCCAGTCATTTGATTACTTGGTTTAGGAGGGGCTGCATGTAGGTTGAGATCTTGGGATGAGTCTTTATAAAATGAGCTTTGTTCTGGTTTAAAGCAAATCTTAATGGGATAGTGAATTTAAAGCCTTGTGTTTCCGTTGGTATTTTACTTGAATGAAACAAGTATTTGTCTTAAGAGATTTTTGAGTTCTCTGTAATAATGACTTCCAATTCCAGGAAGTCAGTGGGTGATAAAAAATTCCATTAGCTATCCCTGTTAATTTTTTCATACTTCCCTTCAGTATACCTGAAACTGAGAGTATCACTCTGAGCTGTATTGATTTGATGTTTTTTTTTTTTTAATAGGTGGTGCCAGCTTCTTTACCAAAGCCAACTGAAGAGAATAGTGGTTGTCATCCTTCAAGGGATGAGTCAACTACACTTCTACAGGTTCTATTTGGAGTTTGGATTTCTCCGAAAAGCCTTCAAACACGTAAGTTAAGAAAACTTTGTATTAGAGGGGGGGTGAGTTAGGTCATATCATTTAAAGACTAATACATGTATCTGAAAACATGCCTCATAACAACCTAACAAATGGCAGGGAATATAGAGAGTTAGAGGCCTCATGTTAATGATATTAGATTTCTCTCTGATTTTCTTACACTTACTTATAAATTATAGTCTGTATCTTCCAGATTGATATTGTCCTATTTAATTTGGGGTATGATATTTTCAGATTATAAAGTTTATATAAAATCTTTATTTTTTACCTCTTTAAAAAGTCATAAGATTGGGCCCCCCTAGAAGGGTATGCAGAACTGAATAGCAGCTGTCATCTTGAAAAGGCATGTGCTCTATTTTCCCATAGCCTCCTTCATTCCCTAGTGGCTTCTTTTATCCATTTACTTCTGAAGGTGTTTGGTTAACTCTAATTTAATCTCCCTGAGTCTGCATTTTATGAAGCACTTCCTATATATTAAATTCTATATTAATCATACGGCATTCATCACTTTTAATTGTACAATAATCCTATAAGAGTTTTTATCCCTGTTTTATACCTAAGAAACTGAGTAACTTGATCAAGTTACAGCTATAAAAAGTGAAGGTTAAACTTAGGGCTAGAGCTCTCTCCCTCTTTATCCTATTATCATCTGTTTTCACTACCTTAAATGCTGTCCAGTGAAATAATAAATATTGAAGAGCTTTGAAAATACAAAAATGTTGTACATTTGTATAATGTTTGTCCTTTTTTTTTTTTTTTTTTTTTTTTTTTTACAAGGTGTAACATGAAAGACAAAATTTCCAGCAGGTGGTTATTAATACTAATGTAGCTTTGTTTACCAAGTCACTTCCATATTAAGGAAATGGATTTTATTTTACAGTACAAACAGTTAAGGTCTAGACCTTTCATTGCACTGAGCTAACAAAGTTCTAGACCATTCATACTATTTCAACTGCTCTCAAACATTTTTATAAAAATCTTAATTTCAGAAATTCCGCTTGCCTCCTCCATCATCTAATTTTCTAGCTGATATTATTGGGCTACAAAATAAAGAAACAGCTGGATATCTGCCTAAGACCATCGAAGGTATGACTATGACTCTGTTTATCAAGTGTATTAATGCAGGCAACAAAACTGAATTTTGACTAGCTGAATCAGAAGGCTTTTTTTTTTTTTTTTTTTTTTTTGCGCAGGTACGTAGGGCGGTTATACATAGAAACCACTGCCAGGGTCATAGCTCAGAAACTCTAGCTAAGGATACTCGGATATCACTAACACTGGAGTCTTAAGAATTACTGTGAATAATTTCTGAACCATGACTGGATCTGTGTACTAGCATACAGGGGAAGAGGAAGATTTTGCCTTTAACTAATGTTGGGAACACTTACTAATACTATTTGAGTGATGAATGGGAAATATAGAGGCTCCTAGTTCCAGCAAGAGCTATAGACTCAGCAATTAAAGTTTCTTGAAAGTGTATATTATCCATAGTAGCTGTGTTTCAAGATGTGGATTATATCTTGCCAGCAAGTTAAGCTAACTCTGTTTTGCGGGGATGGAGGTGAGTGGAAGGATAGAATAGAACTTATTTGAGCATACATACAGTAAAGATAAATATTGTCCAGTTACATTTTATGTGTTCAAAAATAATTAAATAATGTATAATTGCACTGAAGGGACATGAAAAAAAGTGAAGAATAACCAGTGATTCCTTCACATGTCCTTAAGAACAGTGCTTCCTATTATCCTTCGTCTCGACATCTTTAATTTTCTACCTTTCCTTTGTTTCCTTCTCCAGTAGATGCCCATATCTAATTTGAAGCTGTGTCTGATTTAACATACACTGTATTTTAAATATTTCAATAAATCATGAGTCATCATGATTTTAGGCTCAAATAAAAATCTTAATTTGAAAGAAAAAATAGAAAAAAGAAATTTGAAGAATAGCAACTGGGAATGTTGAGGGGGCTAGGAGGTAGAGATGAAGCTGGAGAGGCAGGGTAATGCCTTGTCCTATAGATTTACTTATCAGTCTTCATGGATGATTTCTTCATAGATGATTTCTATGATCTCTAGATTTTCATCTATCTGATGGACATTGTTAATGGATATTTCATTGTCCCCCCAAATTTTTTATAGGTAAAAAATTTTTCTCATCCCCAAATAATGAGCTCCTGTTTTTAAGTCCTATCTCCTCTTGGTACACTTCTTGAAGACACCAGTCTTGAATTTTAGAATTACATTTTTTGTTTTTGTTTTTATAGCTCCCTGTCCCCCAGCCTGCATGGCTTATTCCCTTATTAAATCTGTATTCAGATGTCACTTTATCAGAGACCTTATGACAAACAGTTTTCATGCCTTGCTAATCCTTATCGCCTCCTCTCCTATACTTCACTCTATTTGTTATCCCCACCTGATGTATTAAATATTTAATATTTATTTAATACATCTTCCCCACTAGCATTTAAGTTCAATAGGAGATTTTGTTGGTATTGTTCATTGGAATTCTTGGTGTCTACAGCAATGCTGAGCATGTAATAAACAGTTATAAGTATTTTGTTGACTGAATTATTGTCACCATTCTGTACCAGTTTTTCTTGTATTTATGTCTAGTCCTTTTCCACTATCCCTTCTAGCATCTTGCTCTAGACCTGAGTCATAATTTTTTTCCCCAACAACGTTTTTTTCTAGTGTCTTTCTACTGCATTTTCCCACAAATATTGGAGGTTGATCTTTCTTAAATTATTATATTGCTTCCCTTCTCAAGAACTTTCTCTTGCTCCCAGTTACTTACTGAATGACCAGAGGTCAAACTTTTGGGCCTGGCACGCACATGTGATGGTCTTTCTTTCATCATTTTCATTCAGTCTTGGTTCTTACACTCCACTCTCTTACAGATCTTTTCTTCTTAGTGGTCTAGTCACTGCCAAGCCAAGTTATATATATTTCTATCTTACCTAGAATGTCTTCTTCTGCTTATGACACTTTGGCTTTAAGAGCTGTTCTCCATCCCTTTCATAACATCAGCTTATGTGTTTTATTTTGTCTTCTAATTGGTCAAGTCTCTATATTTTCTAGTTAAAATTTTTAAGATAGGCAGTCCATTAGCATTGCTAAAATGTCCCATTTTATCATGTTTCCACAAGGAATATCTATAGACTATTGGTTATTCTTTACATTAGTTCTTCTTGAGCCAGGTCCACATCCTTAACCCAAACACCAAAAGCTTCTAATTAAGGAGTAGGATGGTGCTACTGGAGTAGATAGCTATAGTAGATGACTGTTTGAGTAGATGGAGTAGATTTGCTAAAATGGACTATTGTGTAGTCACTATAACATACAGGACTAACACCAGTATCAGAATTCTGCCTTTTCCACTTTGGACTCAGCTTCTATCTTTTCCTCTCTTGAACTCTGACCACTTGAGCCTAAAGCATAATCTTCATTCTTTTTCTTTTATAGCCTTTATTTTTATATTTCATTGGGATTTATTCTCTTTGTATTATTACAACTGTATTAGATAGCAGCTGCCCTTGAAAGCTGGGGCTGGGTCTTCAACAATGTTAGGATGCGTGTCATAAGGTTCTTAGATATCCTAACATACATTCTGTTGTATTTCTTTGTTTTAGGATCTTTACCGTCTACCATTACAAAACCTAACATCAACCTGCAGAATGACCCTATCATTCAAAAGTATGGCTCTAAAAAAGTGGGCTTGCTCCAGTGCCTTCTGACAGAGGAGGAAATGAAAACATTTAACTTTCCATTACAAGGTTGGCTTAGACGTAATCTAATGTTGGTAACAGTTTATTTAAGACTGTTGCTGAAAGTTCATTTTTCTGGCTACTTTCCAAATGGGAGATTTTTACTTTTTCATATTTTACAAGAAAATATTTGAAGTGCATTGTTTCTCAAATTAAGGGATATAAACCATGATTGGTAAAGTGATTATTTAAGATAGTGTATGAAAATGATATTAAATAACATTAAATATTTAATATTTATTGCCTTTCATTCTTTCTCATTCCATATTCTTTCATTCCTTCTCAATATGTCTTTAACATTTTTCTTTTTTTTTTAAAGAGGAGAGAGAGAGAAAATTTTTTTTTAATATTTTTCAGTTTTCGGTGGACACAACATCTTTATTTGGTTTTTATGTGGTGCTAAGGATCGAACTCAGCATCCCGCGCAACCTCTTGAGCCACATCCCCAGCCCTGTCTTTAACATTTTTCTAATACCTAATGCCTCATTTCTTTAATAGAGCAGGACTAGGCTCAGAATCTTGGTCAGTTACATAGGACTAGGTCAGTTGGTGTATAAAAGGTGCATAGCATGTTGTTTGTTTAGTAATTTTTTGGCATTATTGCCATTGATGTATAGATGAGTAGCAAGTATAATGCCTCTCAGATTTGGGGTTGCCTTTTCTGGGCTAAACCATATTTTGATTTCTTATAATTATTTAATATAGAGAAGGTGCCTAGGAAATATATTTGATATTTTTTTGCCTGGATGAATCTAGAGTGATGTTTACCATTTCTAGTCTTTGTGTGTGTGTGTGTGTGTGTGTGTGTGTATGTATGTATGCTTATGTTGGAGATTGAACCTTTGGGTACTTTACCACTGAGCTACATTCCCCACGCAATTCTCCCTTTTTAAAATTTTGAGACAGGGTCTGGCTAAGTTAAGGATGGCATTGAACTTGAGAATCCTCCTGGGGCTGGGGATATGGCTCAGTTGGTAGAGTTCTTATCTTGCATGGACAAGGCCCTGAGTTTAGGCCCCAGCACCACAAAAATCCTCCTGTCTTAACCTCTTGGGTCACTAGCAGTACAGGCTTGGGCCACTGCACCTCACTACCATCTCTATTTCTAAAGGCAAATATTATTTTTCCTGATAGGTTCTCCTGACTGTGAAAACTTTATAACTATCAAATGTAATGGATCTGTAACAGATAACAGCCCTCTCTTTGGGCTTGACTGTGAAATGGTAAGTACTCTTTGGTTTTTTTGAGCTAGAATATTGGAAACTGGAAGTTAGTATAAGACAGTTTCTAATAAACTAGTGAATGAATGCATTTAGTTCCAGTATTCAGTTTAAATAGCTGAAAATAGGCCCTTTTATGTATATTTTAGGAAATGTGAATCTGTGAAAAATAGATATGTAAGTTTTTCAGCTAGTTGCTTTGTTTAGGTAAGTCTTTACACATTATTTAGAGGTTTACACCTGTCATTTGAACAGATATTTTATTGTTGTTGCTATGAAAACTCTGCCTTAATATTTTGGTTTGGTTCAGATTTACACATTGAAGATTAGAAGTAGGATTTTCCTGCTTTAGCACTGTCTGTTTTGGTTTGCCTAATTTTAGTAACTCCTTTCAAAGTGCATCTTTCAATACTCAGGAACATTTATGTTCTTTAATTCTTAGAGTAGCTAACAGGTAATATTTTGGAGTCTTGACACAATCAAGATGTGTGTCTTTGTCTTTGCTGTTGGTGTCTATATCTCCTTGAACAAGTCCCCTAACCTCTCTTAGTCTCAGCTTCTCTCTTTGAAGTTGGGATTTTAAAAAAAGCTACCTCATAAACTATCTGAGCTGGGCATAGTGGGGCATGCCTCCAATGGCAGCTTCTCATGAGGTGAGGCAGGAAGATTGCAAGGTTAAGGCCAGCCTGGGCAATTTAGCAAAACTGTCTTTTAAAAAAAAAAAAAAATGCTGGGGATGTTGTAAAAGTGCCTCTGGGTTCAATCTCCAGTACCACACATACTCAAAATAAGCTATTAGTTGTACTTACCACAATACTAGATATAATATACTTTCCATAAATGGTAGGTATAGTTATTATTTCTATTCATCTTCCTTGAGAACATCATTTCCCAGAGAAATTGTACTTTACTGCTTATTACATTCAGTGACCTGCCTAGCTTTAATTTTATTCATCCTGGATCCTCTGGTATACATCTTGCCACTGCTGCAGGGACCCTGATGGTTGAGGCTAGGTGGCAGTTGTGAATGAGAGGAAGCAATAGCTTTTATAGTTCAGCAGCCTGACTGTTCTGATCTTTCAGTGCATCACATCCAAGGGGAGAGAACTAACTCGCATCTCACTGGTTGCTGAAGGAGGATCATGTCTTATGGATGAATTGGTCAAACCTGATGACAAGATTATAGACTACGTCACCTGGTATTTTTCATTTTTATTTGAGCTTTCTTAGAGCTGTCAAACTAGATAGAATGGAATAAGACTTAACAGGAAAGGCTCATAGCTTCTGTTTACATAGATTTTATCCCCTTATCTAATATCAGAAAAGTTTGGGCAATACCTTGATATTTTAATATTGAAGTTTTACATACAGTTAATGGGTAATGTTTTTGCCCTTCTCATCCTCTAATATTCTTGTGATGTTGTCAGCAAAATATTATCTTCCTTATCCTAGAAGCCCCAGTTCTCTTCTTTATCTAGTAACTGCCAAACAACTGGAGGGAGCTTTGCTTTCTGGTAAGACCTGAAAATCTGAAGACAACATCTGGCAGTCAAATGATCTTACTACTTAATCTGCCTTGAACCCTCATAAAAAAAATAATTTTTTTCCATAAAAGATGTTGAGGCTCAATTTTAGTCTTTTCCCAAAGATTAGCATGTAATTTCAGAATGTACTCAATAGTAATTAGGCAAAGAAAAAGTCATTGAAACATTACTGTTTCCATCCTTTAAGATATAGATTTTTGCTTACTTAGGCATAGAGAGACCATGAGACTTGATAGTTATATAGACTGTCCCATTAACAAAGATGTATGCACAAGTACATTTGTCATAATATTGCAAAATATGGGAATATATAAAAGTAAAGGTTTAATTCTAATAAGTCATGCATATAATGGAATACACTTAAAAGGATAAAAGGATGTGTTATGTGAAACTTATGATATATTTAAAGTGACAAGCATGTTATAAAGCAGTACATGAGTTATGATTGCATTTTTGTAAATTATATTCATGAATAAATGTGTATCAAATATGGAAGGATATTTACTAAAATGTGAATAGTGATAATCTCTAATGGGATTATGGCTAACTGTTAATTTCCTCTACTTATTTGTATTTGCAACCTTTTGTACCTTGAACACAGGAAAATGTTTATTCTTTTTAAAGACTTTTTGGGGAGAAAAATTTGTTAATATTTTGGCCTGTCCCTTTCTATATTTATTGAAAGCTATTCAGGAATCACGAAGAAGATGCTTAACCCAGTGAAGACAAAATTGAAAGACGTTCAGAGGCAGTTAAAAGCACTGCTTCCTCCTGATGCGGTGTTAGTAGGTCATTCCGTAGACCTTGATCTCCGAGCATTGAAAGTGCGTATGTGATTTCAGGACATTGTCTATTATAAATGCATGCTCTGCTTCATCTCTAATCCAATGCATTGCTCTTCCTCCAACCCAATGGTTTTTGCCTTTAGCATAAGATGCTACTCATTCTATTCTTTTTCCTCCTCAGATGATTCATCCATATGTTATTGATACCTCATTGCTTTATGCCAGGGAGCAGGGCAGAAGATTCAAGCTAAAGTTCTTAGCCAAAGCCATTTTGGGGTATGTTTATTTTACCTATTGCAATATTGTCTTGATAAACTACACACAAGTTAGCATAACATTTGATAGTACATATTACAAAATTCAAGGTCTCTTTTCTCCCTTTTACTTTGTAAATATTATTCCTTTCATTTCTTTTGGTACCAGGGATTGAACCCAGGGGTGCTTAACCACTGAGCCACACCCCCCAACCCTTTTCTATAGAGACAGATTTGCTTAGGGCCTCACTGAATTGCTAAGGCTATCTTTGAACTCAAGATCCTCCTATCTCAGCCTCCTGAGTCACTGAGTCACTGCCACCACACCTGACTCCTTTCATTTCATATGAAATGCAAAAATTATGGAGACAGGACTTATAATCAGTTGAGGAGGCTTGATGGGTAGAGCCAGACAGGCAATAACATAAAAGTTAGCTGACTTTTCAAAATATAACTTACATTCTGTGTGTCAATACATGTAGAAAGATGTTTGATATAACATGGTTCAAAATAGCATTTCCAGCTTCTTTTTTTTTCTATCTGAAATAATGAACATTTTGATTAAAAAAAAAAATGGTTGCATCTCTGCTAATGTGGAAACCCCTCTTAAGCCAGGCATGGTGGCACATGCCTGTAATTCCAGCAGCTTGGGAAGGAGTAGTTTGAGGCTAGCTTAGTGAGGCCCTATCTAAAAATAAAAAGTACTGGGAATATAGCTCAGTGGTACAATAGTCAGTAGCACAAAAACAAAATAAAGAAATTACTTAGAATAAAATGGTGTTGCAGAGGAAGGCATTGATACGATATGGATGTGCATATAGACACTTGAATGTAAATAAAGTTTCTGGAAAATTCTGGAAAACAGTTGCTTTGTCTAAGAAATGAGAAAAGGGACTGTTGGCCAAGGAGTAGATTAGACTTTTTGTTGGGTAGCCTTTTGTCCAGATGATACGCTTGGTATGAAACAAAGCTGCATCTCCAGCGCCTCTCTCAGGGTTGGAGGGTTAGTCAGAATAAAATATTCCCAGGTATGTCAATTTTATCTTGACTTTCCAGGAAGGATATTCAGTGCTCAGAAAGAAATGGTCATGATGCCACAGAGGATGCTACAGCGACCCTTGAATTAGCTCAGTATTTTCTCAAGTATGGCCCAAAGAAGGTTAGTATCTTTGATCAGTGTGTTTGCCTTTCTTAAAATTATGGGACTGGATCAAACGACCATATACCATCTATTTATATACATTTCTTTCTAAATAAATATGTGTGATTGAGCTGAGCATGTATTTGGAATTAAGACCCATATCACTAGGATAATGCAGTGGTAAAATAAAGTATATAGTCTCTGAAGTTGTGCTTACTTGTTTTTTAAGTACAGGCTCTACAGTATCTAGTTGTATCATGTAGGCAGTTTGTCCGAATAGCTTGTCTCTAGATTTCTAAGTTGGGAATACACAATTCTCTGGGATGTTGATGAGGGAAATGAGAGACAGTATATAAACCTCTTAGCACCGTGTCTTGAATATATTAAGCACCATGTTGTTGGCAGTGACTATTGTAACCGATGCTAATAATTACAAAATAAGTCTGTCAGATTTCTGATCTATTCAAATGGAATGTGGGATGTACTATTGTTTTAATGTCAGTGTATATAGATTAGAATAACATAAGAGACATTGAAGAGAATAGTTTCTCAGAGAATTATAGTGCATTCTAAACTATAGTTTACACAATAACTTCCATTGTGACTGTCATGCAATAAATTGTAATCCATGTAAAATAGTAACTTAATAGTATTCTATGTCACTGTGGTATAAAGACATTCAAAAAGATCTTATTTGGGCTCATAAATGTAATAGTCATTCACTGAGCTCTTACTAAGTCCACTGTTCTAAAAACACCTTATAGACATTATCTTAATTAATCCTCACAGCAACCCAGTGAGACAAATTATTCCAGTGTCATACAGTAGCATTCTGAAGTTTTAAAAAATTAAATAACTGGCTGGTGGAACCAGAATTCAAACCAGGACTTTAAGCTTTTAAAGCATGTCTGCTTTTTACCAGGGTTCAATAAACTTTATTTTCCATAAAGGCCAGATAATAAATATTGTAGACTTCGTCTCTATCACAGTTAGACTCAACTTGCTGTTATGGTGCAAAAGTAACTATACACAGTGTATCGACAGTGGGCCCAGCTGTGATCCAGTATAACATGACTAGATTTGACATGAGGGCTAGCCCCTCCCTAAACCACCTCAACATGGGTTCCGAGAACTTGATGGTCTCAAGACTCCTTATCTTTAAAGAGCTTTTGTTTGTGGATCATATATCAATACTTACCATATTAGAAATTAAATATGAGAAAAATATCTTTAATACTTATTTATATTCAATAGAAATAGAAATATATCAATAGAAAATACCATAAGTAAAAAATATCAAGAGAAAATAGCATTTTCAAAAATTAGTGGGAAAATGTTTTACATATTTTGCAAATCTTTAATCAATGGAATACAGGTAGGTTTTCATTTCTGTGTCTATATTCAGTCTGTTGAGTTGTGCATTTGGAGAAAGGAAGACCTCTTAAACTCATTCTTGCAGGGTCTCTGGAACCCCAAGGGTTCTCAGACCACATTTGGAGAATGTGCTTGATTTCTAATAAAAATTATATTTCACTTGGATTAAAAACTAAGGAAATCTGAACTAAGTTTGTTCAGTTAATAATAACATTCCAATATTGTTGCATTCATTTTGACAAATGCATCATACTAATTTATTACTAATAGGTAAAAATAGTCATAGGTGTCAGTGAACTCTGTACTTTTTCATTTTTATTTAAATCATAATTCTAAGTAATTTTTTAATTGTATATTTTTAGCTTCACAATTGCCAGGTAGACTCCCACTTTATGGAAAAAGAATAAAAATCAATTAGGGTAGATTTTCCATGTTTGTTCATTAAACTAATGAGACTTTTTTTTCCCTAATGTTGCTATAAAAGCCAATCTTATTAATTCCAAAAGGTGCATGTCATTTAATATTGGTGGCTGGTAACAGATTGCCATTCTTGACTGCACAGCCAGAAACCATCTGGTAACTATTGAAGCCAACCCAAGATTGGCAGTGGCAAAGCCTGGTCAAAATAAACAGAACAAAGCTTGAGTTGGTTTTGGTGTTGTATTTCTTTTAACCTCAAATGCGTTGCAAGAAATTAAAATTTATCACGTTGTTTTCTTTTAGATTGCAGAACTCAATCTGGAAGAGCTATGGAGAGACCAAGAAATAAGAAATATAAGAGAAAAGTTTCAGTACACATACAAAAGGTGATGTTTTTCCAGTTCTAAACAAGAGCAAAGGCAGATGGAGAATCTAATTTATAATTTTCTGAATCTAGGGGCTAGTACAAAATTAAGTGACTAAATTTACAAAATAATGACTAGTACATTGAACTAAATAGCATTGGAGATGATAGACTTGTTGGTATTTTGGTTGGAAGACTCACTCTACAACCTTGATATATTACACATTAGGAAAAACAAAATGGACTCAAAGGATTTGACTCCTGCCAATAAATAATGTATAAGATCCTTAGGATTGGGCCCAAACCTTGATAGAAGGCTTGGAGTGTCTTGTCTTTCTTCCCTCCCTCCCTCCCTTCCTTCCTTCCTGTAGAGCAACACTGTCCAATTCTATTTTCTGCAATGATGAAAGTGTTCTATATGTGTGATACCTAGGGTGGTAACCATTAATCTCATGTGACTAGTGCATTTGAGAAACTAAATTTTTAATGGTAGTTAAATTTGAATATATGTTGCTAAGAGATGTGTAGGTATAAAGAATGTCAGGATATGGAAAACAATTATTCTTTCCTTTCTGCCTCTTTACAGTGTTTTGAAATGTTTAGATTCAGTTGATCAGAAGCTCCTTTTTTTATCCCGAGAGACAGATAATATTGAACTCCCTTCTAAAAATTGTGAAACTATTAAGTGCCTTTCAAATAAAGAGGTGAGTGACTTCTTGTGCCTTCATAGGTTGCATTCAGAGCACCGTCCTAGAGCCACAGTAGAGTGGGTATGAGGCTCCTACCTCACCTAGGCTCTGCTGTTTTCTGCAGGTCTTTGAGCAGGCCAGAAGGCAAGTCGACTTCCACCCATTCAGTATTGTTCAGTTCTCTTTTGAGCCTTTTTCACCTCTCCTCACTGAGGAAATGAACAAAAGGGTAAGTAGATGGGTTCTGTTAAACAATAGTTTTAATAAAAAAAAGTAATGCAAGCCTTTTATGACAGATTTTTTTTTCACTGTTTTGTGACTTCTTTTTTTTTTTTTCCATTAAAACCATTGTATATCTTATTTTCTCATTTTTAAAGAATGCATAGTTTTTCACTATATGGTATACCTGTTATTGACAGTATTATGGTGCTTTAATAAATTTTCCTGTTAGAAATAATGTTGAACTGAAAATCCTTGTAAATAAAATCTTGTATATTTGCCAAGTATTTACGTCAAAAAAATTTGAGGTGGAATTATCCCATGTTTTGACTCAAATTTCATTTCTCTTTCTATATCCCCTTTTCCTTATATTCTGTTATTTTCACATAGATGCGGATCAAGTGGACAGAGATGTCAACTATCTATGCTGGGCCATTTAGCAAAGATTGTAACCTAAGGGCTCTGAAGAGGCTATTTAAGAGCTTTGGCCCAGTTCGTACAATGACTCTTGTTCTTGAAACTCATCAGGTAAGGAAATGAGAAAATTCACATTTTGATCTTCTAGATCAGTATTAGAAATTCAGATGATTTCTGAAACCATGCAGATAACAGATATTAGTGAAGTGAGCTTGATTGTCTTCAACTGTCTGGTAGGAGCGAGCAGTTGTTGACCTGTAAGAATGTATACCTTGCATTGCCTGATTTTCTGATTTGGACTATGTTTTTTTTGGTTTTGTTTTGGGAATTGAGAAATATGTGAATTTTCATGTTGGCTCCAGATTTCTTAAAAATTATGTAGCTGGACAGAAAATGTCTGGTTGGATGTAGCCTGTGAGCCTTCTGACTGTGCTCAGTTTTAAATGACAAAGTGCCCTTTCAGAAGGAACTATGACTTCTATATATCTTGAAGTATCAACTGTAAGGTAGACTCATAGCTAGAAAAAATATCTATCTTTAAGTATAGAAGAGCTTTAATATGCACACGAGAATTTGGCACTGTTCTATACCAGGATTTACAAAGAACATTCTTTTCGAACAGTGGATTGATTTAAGATCTATTGATGTGACCTCATTATTATTATTTTTTTTTAAGCAGCAAAGAGGTGTTTATTGCGAGCTAGCTCGGTCCTCTGCACACACAGCAACTGGTGACACTGAGAGGCCATAACCTCATTATTTTGTGGAGTAAAAAATAATTACACACCTACAGTTAGTTTCTAAACAATTTACACTATTTTATTTCCTTACATTCTATTTTTTGTTTGTTTTTCATTTTTTAAATTCTTAAAGTGTGGTGGGGCTGGGGTTGTAGTTCAGTGGTAGAGTGCTTGCCTAGCACATGTGAGACACTGGGTTCAGTCCTCAGCACGACATAAAAATAAATAAATAAAATAAAGGTATTGTATCCATCTATAATTGAAAAAAAATAAAACTTTAACAACTAAGTTTCCATCTTCATTTTCATATCAGTATTATTTAATGAGTACAAATTGAGGGTGATATCTGAAGTAATAACATTCTGAATAAGTGCATTATGTAGAGATATGGAATAAACCATGAAAAAAGTTAAAAGATATAGTATAATACTATTAATCTATAGAATAACATGCAGTGACTTTAATGGAGCTCTCCAGAAAGAGGAGCTATGTAGCTGAGGAAAGGGGTTAGATAATGACTTCACTGTAAATTTTTTGTATCTTTGGAATTTGGAACCAGGCAACATGAAACTGCTACATTAATAATAATTGAAAGATATAAAAACCTCAGTTGATCTAAAGAGTCCCAGATACTCAAATGTGCTTTTTCCAAATCTATCTTATGTCTTTTCTGTGATTAAAAATACATATAAAAGATGGACTGGGGGATATATAGTCTTTTCTAGAGGCTTTTTTTTTTTTTTTGGCAAATTATAACATGAGATTTACCTTTTAACCTTTAACTTTTTCATCATTCCAAATAATAATTCCTTATTATCCCCTCCCCAATCCCATAGTAACCTCAGCTAATTTCTGTAAAATTCTATGAATTTTATCCCTCAATATGTGTCATAAATGGAATCATACATTATTTGATCTTTTGTGTCTGGCTTATTTCACTTAGTATGATGCCTAGGTTCATTCATACATTAGAACTTCATTCCTTTATAAGACTAAGTACCATTATGTGTGTACCATATTTTGTTTGTACAAGTATCTCTTCAACTCTGTGTACTTGGTTCTTTTTGCATATACACATAAATGGAATTGATGAATTATGTAGTAATCCTGTTTAATTTTTTGAGGAACCACCAAACTATTTCCCACAGAAGCTGCACCATTTTCCATTTCCACCAGCAAAGAACAAGGGTTTTAATTTCTCCATGCATTTCCCTAATGATTAATGATGTTGAATATCATTGGCTATTTGTAGATCTTTAGAGAAGTATCTATAGAGGTATTTGCCCATTTTTAAATTGGGTTGTTTTTGTTGTGGAGTTCTTAGTAATTCTGGATACTAGTTCTTTATTAGATGTGTGATTTGCAGATATTTTCTCCCCTTCTGTGTGTTGCCTTTTGACACTGTGCATCAAGTGTCCTTTACATAAAAATTTTAAATTTTATTGAAGTCCAGTATATTTTTTCTTTGATTGCCTTTGGTGTCATCTTTGCGAGATCATTGCCAAAAGCAATATTGTAAAGCTTTTTATGGGGGAAGTGCTTTTTCTCCATGATGATGCTACAGCTTAGATAATCACAAAGATTTAGGTACTCTTGAGTCAACAAATAGAAAAGTAGATGGAACATGTGGTCTAGACTTTGGAAGAATTTAGCCTGTCTAAGCTTATAAGAAGACTACCTGTCTAAAGTCAAGCTAATAAAACAAATTGGAACCTCTGCCTGTGAACTTTAATGAATTTAGTGATTTATAATGTTATGAAAAGTAAGTTGTAATAAGGAATTTGTTAGTGCTTTCCCCATACAACCCAGGGCAGTGGGCTTTGAGTTCAAATGGTAAATAAAGATTAGTCATTGTCCAAGAACCAATTCCTGGACCATCTGTAGTCACCACCTGTCTAGCCCAGTATAGCAAGGGCGTTCATTCTGATGGTTCTGGCCACTGTAGTTCAGGTCCTTTTCCCAACTCTTTCTCTAGCAGTTTGTGCTGAAAAGCAGTAGTGAAGAAAACTTGTCTTTCTGCAGCCTCATCTCTATATACGGTATGAAGTCCTGGAAGCTGCCCAGCTGGCCATAGAGTCCTTGAATGGCGTTCTGGTAGAAGGTGTATACATAAAGGTAAGATGGTCAGAGAAAGCTGAAAGCAGCCCCTGCACTTAGGCCTGACCTAGCACAGCCTGTATCTTATAGTGCCTCATGACATACAAAATGTCCTAGAGAGACCCAGGAATGAGACTCTGATGGAAAGTCTTTAGCAACTCTGTAGCCTCCTTACAGATTAGGAAGCTACAAGACTAAATTATTTATATGTAACAGGCTCAAAAGTGAAAGTGGTGACTCTCTACCACTAATACCACGTTTTCTTGGTTAGGTACAGAGACCTGTGACAGAACTCACTCTGGATTGTGACACACTTGTTAATGAGCTGGAACAAGATTCTGAGAACCGAGATACTATTTATCTGTCTGGAGTTAGTCAAAATTTCTTAGGACATCTTCAGGAATTGCCAAATCTCTTTTTTGGTCTGGAAGCTGTGATCGTGCCTACAGATCCTAAAAGCGGAAGACAGAAAAAATATTGTTTCCTGAGTAAGTCTATACCACCAAATGTAAATGTGAAGGAGGAGATTGGGGATGGTGGTGACCTCTGGAGGTCAGAGAGGGGAAAGTTTTACCAAATAAGCCTTCCTAGGATAAACCAAGGCCTGAGCTCCTAATTCTGTCCCTCCCCCTCGTTCCCACCCCTGGGCTGCAGCCAGGCTCCAGCTTGCACACTGATCAACTTTCTTGGATCTTAGTAACAGAATATTGGGGGGGATTGTTCTTGCTTTCAGAATTCAAAACTTTTGGCAATGCCCAGAGGGCCCTCCATATCCTAACAGGCAAGGACTGGAAGCTGAAAGGCAGGCATGCCCTAACCCCCAGGCACCTCCATGCATGGCTTAGGGGCTTACCACCTGAATCAAGAAGGCCCCCAGGTCTTAGAGTTAGACCTCCTCCCTCAGAGCAGGAGACCTTGCAGGTGAGTGAGAATGTTTGGGGTTAGAGGGGGAAGACAGCTACTTTGGCTCTGGACCTTGGACCTACATGTTCCTGGAGATTAGTCAGGACAGTCCTACTCAGTGATATTTGATCCATTACTTTTTTTTTCTACTTTGACCCATCCTGTGTCACTTTTAAGCTTCTTGTAGCCCTAGCCAAATCTGATTTCTCATACTGTGTTCCCTTCCATAGCTGCTAAAATCAGGTTTTTAGCGTTTGAAGGTGGCTCTCTGAGGGACTTGAGGGACTGAGGTGGGTGGCCAGAGAGTTGGACAACTCTTATTGAGGGTTTCCCAAACTGTACACACACCAAATAAGTTTTGATAGTTGTGGATAGACTTTTTTGCTTTCTCGCTTATGTCGACTTGCTTTTCTAACAGTTAACTAAAGTATATGACCACATTAAACTTCAAGTAGTATTACTTACACAAGGCTAAGAAGGAGTTTCCTCTGTTTAAAGGAAAACATAAGAGGCACGTAAGAGGGGAAAGAGGAGAATGAGTGAAGCTTGGGAAACCCTGTCCTAATCTAATCTCCCACACTTAGCAGATGATAAATGGAGGCAAAAGCTGGTAAGTGACTTGCCCAAAGTCACAAAGATATTAATCATAAAGGCCTCCTCAGTGACATGGCTACCATAGCTTGGGGTCCTTAGTGGAGGAAAGGATAGCACCTCTCTTCCTATAAGGAGGTTCTAAACCAGCCTGAAGGCCCACAGATGGGCTCCAGTTTCAATGGGATCTGTCCAGAACCTACATAGGGATTTCATGGCCTTAGAGCCTGAGGAAGTATTATATCCCCTCCAAAGGTGGATAATGTGTATTCTGACTAAGTGTTGACACATGGCTTTAATCCCAGAATTTAAAGGCGGACCACCCAAAGATAGCAGCCTGGCGTTGGAGCCGGAAGATTGGAAGGCTCTACCAAAGCCTGAGCCCAGGTACCCTTTGTGTCATCCTCCTGCCAGGAACCACTAGGTAAGGACTGATAGATTTTCCCTTATGCCTATGGCCCTTAGGCTTAAGTTGTTCTTGGAGAAAGGCCTTTTGATAATTTCCAGACACATAATCAGCACTTAAATGAGTCATCTCTTAATTCTCAACAGTTCTAAGAGATAGGAATTATATTCCCAATTTACATTGATATGGTTTTATGTTAATTACATACACATAGTGGTTCCTCAAAACAGATCATCCAGTTTAAAACTAGAGATCTTGGGTCCTGTAGTCTCCCTGGATTAAGAAGTAGCTGCTTAACTTTAGAAAAAATGTCCAGATTTGTCCTAGGATAAAACCCAGGATCAAGTGTGATCAGGGTCTACCCTCCTCACATATCAGTGTGCTCTTTCCTTCCCTGCTCTTCCCCCCATTGTTTTCTGTTTAAGAGAAAGTAGGGCCCATTTGGTTAATTCTAAACCTAAGAAACACTGGAATAGAAATAGGACTTTTGGTCCAGTTCCAGTTCATCTCAATCTTTCCCACAAGTGACCAAGCCACTTTTTCCCCTTGTGGGTTTCAGTTTCTATTCTAAAATGAGGGATTTGGGGTAAATCAATGTTTTGTTTTTTAAACTATAAACCTTTTTTTTAAAAAAAAAAAAAAAGAAAGAAAGAAATTGATGTTAAATCCTAAAGTAAAGATCAGCAGTTTTGGAATGAGTGAATGGGTGGATGAATGAGTAAATGTATAGAGTAAGAAGGGAAAGAGGATTGTTTTTTGGAGTATTTTTAAAATTATCACATTCTGTGAGATTCATTTCCTGTTGTAAAATCCTTAAAACACATGTACTTACTGGTGAGATGTCTTCCTTCTGGGCTAACTTAAGAGTAAGAGACTAGGACTGGAATTGTGACTCAGAGGTAGAGCGCTTGCCTAGCATGTGCAAGACCCTGGGTCGATCCTCAGCACCACATAAAGATTGTGTCCAACTACAACTAAATATTAAAAAATACTAAAAAGTGACCAGAAGCTGCCAATAAAGCTTAAGAGCAAAGGCTCTGGGGGAACACACAGACCTGCCCTTAGAAAGCTCCTCAAGTAGAATAGAGGAGTAGTCTTTATGTTCCCAAGTAGAATACTTACATTTCAATCTCCATTTAGTAGGAAAACTAAGTCAAGGGTGGCTCAAAGCATTCTTCTTGCAGAAATAGTCTTCTAGATATTCCACAGAATGTGAAGGCTTGGGAAAGGAGTATTAGGGTCAGGGAGTAAAGGCTTAGGTTCTGACTGAGTTAAAGATTCTAAGATGAATTTGATAAGTCAGGAGAGTAAGACCTTCTTTGAAGTAGCAAATTCTATAAGAAAACCCAAGTTACAACTTTCTTTTAAAAGTCATACTCTGATTTCTGTAGCAGCAATATGTCTGTTTGCTGTGACTGACCTCTCCAGGCATCATCTGAGCGGCTGCTAGTGGACACCTTAGGAAACCAAGTGCTCAGGAAAAACAGACAATAGGTTTCTTCAGCCAGAGGCCTGACTCAGTTCTTAATCCTTACATTTCTAGTTGTTTCTGAAATAATCATTGCTATAATTTATCAGACCCTTTAAAAGAGGCTATCTATATACACTTTTGGTTGAAATTCTCTCCTAAACAAAGAGAAAGTTTCTGCTTAAACGACTTACCTAAGGCCATACAATTAGCAAATACATGGGATTTGAGATCAGAGTGACTCTCTTGCCCTCAGAGCTCCACTCCATCTTCCCCTGAAGGCTAGTGCTTGGCAGCTTAAGGTCAGACATCAGGGGAAGACGAATATTGCCTTTATTCATTTTACTTACATCTGCTTTGTGACAGAGCTCCTTGGCCTTCTAACTCAGTTCCATGAATATTCATGACAGTGGCAGGGAACTAACAGCCTTTGGATAGCTCCTAAATTATAAGTGCTGTGCTCAGTATTTTACAACATACTTTATTAATAGTTTTTCAAACAATGATTGGTATAAAGTAGGTGTTATAAAATACTTTAAGTAAAATTAACAACATATTAACAGCAACTTAGGTTTCTGAAGATAGAGTTCCATTTTTGAAAACCTGGTTCTTAACAGCTGTATGACTTGAGCAGGTTATATAGTGTCTTTGAGCCTTTCTTTGAAAAATGGAAGTTACAGTAGTATTTATATCAATGAGCTGTTTTGAGGATTTAATGAGACAAGTGCTCAGAACAATCCTTGGCATGTAATATGTGCTTAAGTGTATCTGGCTTTTATTGTGTGATTCTCACAAAAGCCCTGTGAGATAGTAATTTAAATATTGTAGAGCTTTATAGTCGAAAAACTGAGTTTTGGTTGAGATGTTTCTCCTAAGTGGCAAAGCTAGGCCTCTTGGGACTAGTCAGTGTTCTTGCGTTGAATCATCTTTAGCAGGCAGCTTTCCATAAATTTATCTGCTTCTTGCCCCATGACATGCACACAGACTCTGAAACTTTACCCTTTCCAGCCTAGGAGGCTCAACCCTATTGGTACAAACTTGTCTTCATTCCTCATTTATTGCAGCCCTCATGGATCTCTATCTGGCCTCGGACTCATGGGAATAAAAGATGATGAAGAGGAGGAAAGCACCACCCCAAGCATGGGTTTGTGAGTCTGCTCGTCACTTGCCGTTTCTTATCCTTCCTGGGCAATGGTGGAGAAGACGGTCAGGCTGCAGCTTCTCCAAAGACTGCTGGGCCTCTTCATTCAGTGGACAGCTTTGTGTGGGAAGTTGGTGTACCGGCTAACAGGTCTAATCCATTTACATGGCATGCACAAGTTTTCAATAAATGCCTAAAATTCAAGCCTTCCTCATCTTAAGACAGGGTGAGGGCGGAAACTAGCTTATTTTCTCTTTGTGAGTTTGTTCTACTCCCATAAAGTTTTGTATATAGGTCACAAAACCAGCCAGTTATGCAGTTCATCAAGAAAGTTGATATATCTGAAGCAAATTTCTGTAAGGCAAACTGTTTTCACCTTGGCAAGTGTTATAAAATTGAAGGAGAAAGGCTGAATGGGAAAATCTCACAAGTTCACCACCATGGTTTTAGCTTTGCCAGTCTTCTAATTCCCATGTTTGGAAATCTCTCCTTCAGAATGCGGTTGCAATGCCACCTTTTACCAGTAGGTGCCTGTATCACACCACTTTTCCTCGGTTATTGGGCTCTTCAAATTCAGTAAAACCAGAGCTCAGCTTAACAACTCTTACTGATAACATTCTGTATTGGGAAGAACATGGGGCAAAGGCACACAATTCCAAACTGGTAGAGATATTAATGGTTTTCCAGAAAAAGGTATAATATGAAGCACATCAAATGTACCAGGGATTGAACCCAGGAGTGCTTAAACACAAAACCACACCCCACACCCCAAGTCTTTTGTTTTGACACAGGGTCTCACTAATTTGCTGAGGCTGGCCTTGAACCTGTAATATTGTGAATCTCTAGTCACTGAGATTACAGATTTGTACCCCCACACCTGACCAAAGTGCCTAACTTTGAATCCCAGCTTTTTGTTGAACTTCGATAAGTTATTTAGCATCTGTGTTTGGCATATTTAGTAATGGATAGGTATCTTAGATTATTGTGAATGCAAATGAGATCATGCAGTGATAGTACTTTATATTATTTGACATATGAAATGTAGAGGGCTACAGAATAGTATGTACAGTTTTGAGTCCGTACAAAGCTATGTATAGGCTTGGAACCAAACTGGTTCTTATTTGATAAAAACTGGGCCTTATTTGACAAGATGTTTACAGTATTTTTTCTCTAGTAAGATTGGCAAATTAAGTTTTATCAAATGATTTTTTTGTGTGTGTATAGGCTGGAACAACTTGAAATTCATAGTGTTGCTGGATTCCTTCCTGCCCAGCTGAGCTCCAAAGCTGTGGGAGCTTAGGTGATATTTACCTCTTGAGTTCCTGTCTTGACAGACAAAATAAGTGCCTGCCTGGGATATGGATGGGTTCTACTCCGAGGTATTCTTGGGGAAGGTAATTAACCTTACTGGAGTCCATTTACAAATCTGTACAAAATGAGGAAATACCTACTTTTAATAATTGTATTTGGAGAATAATTTGTGGAAAATGTCAGAATAGTGGACTGTGTATGAATTATTTTGTCAGCCTCAGTTTCCTCACCTTTAAAATGAGGAAATTATTACCTCTTCATAAGGTTATTCTGAGAATTATATTAGGGAAAACCCACTATTAGTGCTTAATAATTGAGGATTGTTTTCAAAGTGCAGAAAAGGCAGATTAGGGCTCCCTGAACCTAGACCATTTACCTTGCTCCCAAGACTAGCGAAGACCTTTTCCTTCTGGATAGGTAGGGCTAGAGGCTTCCCTGTATGCCTTAATTCTATTCTGCAGAGAGAGCCCTGGACCCACTAGGCCTCTGAGACCTCAGTCTGCACACTCTGTTCTTGATGCTTCCACCTTTTGGAAGCCAAAGCTGCCAACTTGGCCTCTTGCAAAACACACATTCCATTCATAAGTGTGTTTGTGCATTTTTCCTCCCACACCCTTCTAGGCAGCCAATGCAGCTGCTAGAGAAGCAGTAGCTCATGGGGGGAGGGGGAAACAAATCAAACTTTTTTAGAGAACTCTTGATTTAGGTTTTAAACACATTATTCCCATTTTCTGGTTTCCCAGCCTATAGTGGGGTAGACACTTAGCCATGTTGTTTTTGTTTCCTTTGTCCTCTTCTTTGTAAATGTCTTTCCTTTTCTATAAATAGAAAAGCCATTAATGGAAATTTGAAAATCCAGGAAAATTAAAATCACATCTAATCCTATAATCTGTCAGAGATTTGACAAGCTTCTCAAACTTTTCCCATCATTATTTAAAAGCAGATAGTTTAATAGCTGCATAATACTGTACATTGATATGTCATAATTTATAAAACACTATCCTATTAACACAAGTTCTTCCCAAGTAATGCTACCAACTATATATTTACATATACACACTTGGCAGATAGTACTTTAAGTTCTTAAGAGAAATTATTGGATTAAAGAGTATTAACACTAAAGGTTATTTTAATGCCAGAAAGCCTTTACTGTTTGCCAGTATGGATTTGTTTCAAATCTTTGCCACTTTTGGTATTCTAATTTCTATTTTTATGAAAACCCTTTAGATTGGCAAACATCTTTTTTTTTTCCCCCCAGAAGCTTTTTGGCCAATTTTTTTCCTTCGGCAAGTTGACCATATCCTTTGCCCATTTTTCTGATGGAAAATGAAGTACTTTTCCATACTGCATTTTTAAGGGCTCCTTACAGATTTAGTGTCAATTTGTTAATTATTACAAACACGTTTCTAGTTTACTTTTTAAGTTTTATAAGTTTCTTCCATTTACTTTTATGGTTAGAATGTCCTGATTGATCTAGAGGTCAACTTCTCACTGCAAGTTCACATATTTCTAATGATTTAAATTTTTCTACTTCCACTTTTATTCTACCTAGAACTTATTTTGGTGTATGGTAACTTTTCCCAAATAGATGATTGGGTCTATCATTACCTATCCAATATAGGAGGAAGCATCCTTTACAAGTCAGTGTATGTACTAGAGCTGGCACTCATGGTTTCTTCTGTTTTGCAATAGAACACTCTTATAACTTTCATATATAATATACTAGCAATTTCAGCAGCAACACCCAGGTAAGAAAAGGGCCCTTAGAGTCCTCATCAGCATGGATTTCTAGACCCTCCGCTAGAGTTAATATGCTTTGCTGCTGACTGCATTGTTATTGATCTTTATTTTACCAAGACTTTATTTCATTCAGCCACTCTGAATCAAGGTCAGAATATTACAAAGAATGTTAAACCTAGATAGGCACTTGATAGCTTTAAGACAGGGCATCTCAAAAGACAAAGGAAAGGAAAGGAAATCAAGTTAGGATACCTAACCTCTCCTTCCCAGTCAGACTAACCCTTTTCCATCTGGGTCAAAATTCAGAGTTAGAGGGATGATTTTCAGACCCAGCATAGCCATTTGCTTTGGTAACTGGATGTGACAAGAGGCCAATGCTGAAGTGACTCTTCTGGACCCAGTAGACCACCTTCAGTACACTGACTTGTTAGAAGTCCATTCCACATGCAGTTACACTTAGTCTGGCAATTGTGTGAAAGTTGCTTGTCCCTCATCTTACTGAAGATTGAATTTTAGCTGTATGTAACCAGCACAGCACTGTGACACTTGGAATAGCTCCAGGCTGTATTCAAATACACAAATCAACATCCTGTTTGGGGGGAATTGCCACATGTCTTGGGGGGACATACTAAAGAAAAGTCACCCCTTAGATTTCCCATTCAGCCCCCACCTGATGTTGACCTTGGTCAGGAAGAAGAAAAATCCAACTCAATGAAGAAATCCGAGAACTTTCCCAGCTAGGGAATATAGCCATAATTTCTAAGCCCTTTGCAACTGACAAGAAAAAGCACATTTAATCCCTGCCGCTGTACTTACTTATTTTTAGGAGATAACATACATGGGGCTAGGAATCTTTGGGGAGGACATCATTGTCTTCACCAAAGAAATGAGTGACATGGTTAGTAACATTCCTAAACACAAACAAGACCTAGGCAGAAAACTACAATGGAAGCAGCTCAGGGTTGAAAGTGGTCCATCATGTCAGACTTGTAGAATGTAATGGGAGCCTTAGGGGTGATGTTAGTGAAAACTCACCTAGACAGAAAGTAAGCTCCTAAGAGATCACATGTGACCATGCCAAGCCCTGTCCAGTTCACTATTCCCTGCATTACTCACCCAAAGTCCTTTTGGAGAAGCTTAAAGAGAGCTTGTAATATGATTGAGCACTTTTTGTTTTTTTTATCTTACGGGCTTTATAGATTTTCTTTGAAATCCTAACACTCCTGTGGAATTAAGTTTCATTTTACAGATGAGTAAAAGGACAGCTTAGAATTTCACTAACTTGCCGAAGGTCACAGTGGCACTGGACAGTTAAAACAGGTCAACTTACCTCCTTTGCATTAACTACTGCAAAATTAATAGATCCAGGGGCATGCTTAGATTTTTTACTCCTCTTGGGAATTCAGTTAAGATTAGGTAGTGGCCCTATGATGATGACTCATTTGATGTTTGCCTGCAAGTACTGGGGACCCCAAAGGCTTCCAGGGGGTAGAACTTTTTCCAGAATAAATTCACTGTTGTTTTTTGTTGTTGTTGTTGTTTTTGCAAAAATATCAATACTCAGGTAAACAAATTTATTAAATCCACCAGCAGGTTACCTTCCAAAGTAGAAAAAAAAATTAAAGAGACATCAAAGACAAAAGGGGCCATTTGGAGAGTGCAACAGTGCAGAGAATACAAATAAAAGTTTTAACTTTTGTCAAATTTATATAACCTCAAGAAACAGACATGCTGGTACCAAACCAAGAGGGATCCACAAAGGTGGAGGGTCACATGAGCAGTGGACTCATCACCTCAGCAGCTTAAGGCAGGATATATGCAAGACCAATTCATCCAAGCCCCATTTGCCTATTGCTTCAAATTCCCTCTTTGCAACCTAAATTCATATTCATTAGTGCAACAGGTAAGAGCAGTTAATCACAACTGAGGACCAGAGCGAGAAGAAAAACACTTTTTCCAGAGGAAGTGTATATGTGTTGGGGGGAAAAAGGACAGCAGCTACTGAATGGCTTCCTTTGGCATTACCCAAGATTTGTGTTGAAAGTAGCAGGAAAAGCAGGTGGTAGAAGGAGGTTTCTGAGAGCAGGCTGGGTTTTCAAGAAGAGGACTAGGTAGAACACGATGCCCCTACACCTGAATCAGAAGCAGAATCTGAAGGGTTACTCAAAGCTATTTGGACCATCTTGGTTTC